ATAAATATTTGCTGAATGAATAAAAGAATCTAGTGTAAGGATCTACCCCCTTATGAGTCTTTCTTGAGGTCTAGATTCCACACAAGCCAGCAGGTTTTGTACTTTAACTAGTAAAATATACTTTTCCTGCTCAATTTCTCTAAAACAGATTTTGAGTCATCATAGATTCATCTGTTTTATTTGTCCTTAGCATCTGGTGAATCAGTTAGGTCCATAATTTTTGCTTCCTCAAAAATATGATGTATATACTTGCCTTACTGTCTATGTAATTTCTCCTCCAGCTCCTTTTCCTTTATTGTATTTGAAATGTGATATTTGATACATGCATAAGTATGGATGTTACACATAGTAAGTTGTAAAGAACAAGCAGATGCCCAACTGTGAAATCACCATTTTGTGTCATAGTTAATATTACTCATCCCCCTTTTCCACTTTTTCTTCTCTACTCCATCCTCATACCTCCAACTTAAAAGGAAATCTCTATCCTGAAGTGGGGATTTCTGATCCTCTTGTTACAGTGTTCTTTTCAAATAAGTTTATTGCAAATATAGGTAATCGTTAAAATGTATCATACACACTTGTCATGGAGCTTTTTAGAAGAGTTTCATCCATACTGTGTCATCCACACTGTGGTCCATGAATGGTCCTTGGAACACAATGGGATTACATTGTGTACACTGCTCCAATTTCTTTGTTTCTTCTTCTGTATGCTACGTGTTTAAATTGTTTCAAGTGTCTGCTCTTTGGGAAAGGGTTGCTATAAGCATTGCATATAAACTATTATATCTCTTGCTTTATGTCTGCAAAGTTGCTCTAGGTTCTATACCAAAGATGGACATTTTGGATAAAGGTTGTGCATATATTCAACTTTACAAGATAATAAATTATTTTCAGAGTGGTCTGTTTATATATATATGAAAGTCTTCATTGACTCATATACTTTTCAACACTTGGTAGTATCAAGTTTCTTTTCCCTTTATTTGATGAAAGTTTGCATATCATTTTGTTATAATTTGCATTTCCACAAGAAAAGAGCTTCCAAAGCTTATTCAGCATTTACATTTTTGCTTCAGTGAAATCTTTTGTCCATTTTAAAATTTGGTTGAGCTGTTATTCAAGTAAAGTTCTTCATGCTTTTGGAAACAAATTATTTGTCAGTTATACTTATGTATAGTGTTTTCTTCCAGTTCATAGCTTACCTTGTTACTTTCTTCATGGTATTTTAGAAAATGAATGAAATTAAATTTGTCAATATTTTCTGTTTTTATTAGAATCTACCATTTTAAATCCAACTTTATCTTGAAATTTATTTATTATTTATTAAAGAATTCAAAAGCTTTGTCTTTCATACTTTGAGTGCATATGGAATTGATTTTTTATTCATGATTTGAAATAGGATTTCCATTTAACTTTTCCATACGTATAAAAAAATTACCCTGTAAGATAATTCTGCTGCTATAACATTTATTTAGTGAAATATAGAGACTGCATTTATAAAGCTGTGGAAGATAAGCATGCAATATAAAAGAACATGAAATACTTTAAAATCATAAAAGGTAATACATGCAGTATTGGTATGTATACATAACTCAAAGATATTAGAAGGATATACATCAAAATAAGTGAATATCTTTAGATAGTATACTTAGCCATGATTTTATTTCTTCTGACCTTCTCTAAATATCTAAATTCTCTTTATTCGTATATTCTTTTACATGAAAAACATCAAGATAAATAGTGAGTTCAAGTCAAAATATAAAGTCAGTATGACTTAAATAAAAAGAAGCCATTCATTGAAGGAGAAACTATAAATTGAAATTTTCCCACTTTAGTTTGTGTTGAAAGCTTCTAGTCCTGGAGTGGAGAGAAAAGGATGCTTGTGGATTATGCAGTATTTCAGCAGGTGTAAAGGGGTTAATTTCTAAAACCTCTGTAATTCTTCTGTTACTAGTGACATACAGTTCTCCTCTGAGTTTGCTTTACAGGTTTTCAAGGTTCTTTAGTGATTAGGAACCAGCGTCCTTATGTATATCACTGGTGATTTGATGTTTTCTTTTTGCCCAACAGCAAATAATGAAAAGACTTATAAAACGATATGTTTTGAAAGCACAAGTAGATAAAGAAAATGATGAAGTTAATGAAGGTAAGCAGTCCCAAGATGAGAAATGTCCTTTTATAATTAACTTAATGATCTCGGAAGATATCACACTGAAGTGTATTATAAATATGCAATCCTTTATGGCCTAGTGAGTTAAGCTACCATCTGTGATGCTGGCATCCTAACTGGGTGCTCCCAGCTGCTTCCCTTCCACTCCCGATCCCTTCTAATGGCTTGGGGAAAGCAGCACAAGATGGCCAAGTCCTCGGGCCCCTATCAGCCACTTAGACAACTAGAGAGTAGATGATGGCCTTTTTTACTTAAAATTTATTTCATTTGTTGGATATGCTGACTGAGAGGGAACGAGAGAGAAAGAGATCTTCCATCCTCTGGTTCACTGCCCAATAGCCATGATGGCCCAGACTGGGCAGGCTGAAGTTAGGAGCCGAGGATTTCATCTGAGTCTCCCATGTGAATGGATGGATCTTCTGATGCTTTCCCGGGTTCATTAGCAGCCAATTGAATCAGAAATGGAGTAGCCAGGACTTGAGCCAGCACTCCTATGGGATGCTGGCTTTGTAAGTGGTGGCTAATTTGCTGTGCCTTAACATTGACCCCTTGTGCATATTGTTGAGGAAGACTTACTATTATTTTTATTTGAAACAAAAAAAGTTTTGCCTCCTATATAGTAGAACATAGGAATTATGTTTCAATGCATTATAAAGATAATATACTCAAAAATGTATTTTGCATGTTATTCTATTATGAAAAGTCAGGGACCAGTGCTGTAGCGTAGTGGCCAAAAACCTGGCCTTGCACGCACCAGGATCTCATATAGGCATTGGTTCGTGTCCCAGCTGCTCCACTTTCATCCAGCTCTCTGCCTGTGGCCTGGGAAAGCAGTGGAGGATGGCCCAAAGTCTTGGGACTTTGCACTCACATGGGAGACCTGGAGGAAACACCTGGATCCTGGCTTCAGATTGGCTCAGCTCTGGCCATTGCAGCCACTTGGGGAGTGAACCAGTGGACAGAAGATCATTCTCTATCTCTTCTCTGTATATCTGCCTTTCCAATTAAAATAAATAAATGTTTTAAAAAAACAACAAAATCAAGGTGTCAATGAGTTATAGAATCAGTTGTAGGATTTAAGATAAATTCCTGCCCCAATGTTATTTTCAAGGTTGATAGTTTATCTACATTACAGTCCCTTGCAAGCGAATCCAAGCTTTAAGTACACTCTGTCTATACTGGAAATACTACCAACTAAGTTACAGGGCAGTGGTGTTTTAATAGACAAAACTCACATGGCCAGAGGTTTCATATCTAAACCCCTCAATTTCACTGTAGGTTGTAACTTCCTTATATACAGATCCTGTCACACAAACTGTTGGTTCCTTGATCCCACATTCATCATTGCCTTCCTAATAAGCACCCCATATTCCTTCTCCTTCCCTTTCTGTCTTTCAATATTTACTTCATCTGTATGAGTAGTGTTTGCCTACGAAATAGACTGATCATTTTTACTGAAGTTTAGTCTGGCTAGGATTCCTTTTAATTCAAGTCATGAGAGACATTTGATGAAGATGTCAAGCCCTATGCCTGAAGCAAACGAGGGAACTCCTTGTAAAACCATGGAGATACTCTGACTGTAGCTCAGCTCGGAGGATGATGCTATGCTAAAAGTTGAGTGAGCCAAAGGACCATACTTAATGCTGAGTTTTACCATTAATACTATAGCTGGACTATGCAGCTTTTTCAAAGATCAATATATTATTTTAGGCAGATGTTTTTAACATGTTTTAAAGAAATTGAAATGCTACCTTAGAGACTTTATGAAATACATTTATGAATTTCACTCTTTGTTCTTTTATAAATCCAAAGGACAAATTATCAACTACATGTTTATTTTTCATACAAACACTACAGGTGAATTGAAGGAGATCAAGCAAGATATCTCCAGCCTTCGTTATGAACTTTTGGAAGACAAGAGCCAAGCAACTGAGGAATTAGCCATTCTGATTCATAAACTCAGTGAGAAACTGAACCCCAGCGTGTTGAGATGTGAATGATGCTCCAACATGGAATTCTGGCTTTGACCATAGCACAAATGTTGGCAATAATATATCTGAGTATGAAATACTTGAAAAACTGTTGTGTAAAGTTTTAGTATTATCTACCTTTATCATGTGAACCTTTAAAAGTTAGGTCTTCTTTGATTTTGTTTGTTTGTTCTTTTTTTTCACATGAAAATGGTCTGCCTTGACATTGCAAACAACGCCATACTATTGTATTTAAAAGCCCTATATTACCAACATTTCTGATATTTTTGTTCATTTTAGATTATAATGTAATTCTTTGCACTACCTGCTTGCCTCCAAGAGATGGTAAACTCCTTGGGGACAGGGACCATGTCTTATTCATCTTTGTGTCTCCAGCATCTAGGACAGTGCCTGGTACATAGTAGGTGCTCAATAAATGTTGTTGAAACCAACTGAACTCCCAATAAGATATAAATAAAAATAAAAGATCATCACTATGTAGCATACCTTTCTTTGTCCAAGTCCTAAAAAGGTTTTTTTTTTTTTTTTTTGAAATCTAGAAACTGAAGAAATTTTACAACCAGCTATGTCTAAGCGAGATTTTCTTAGAATTTTAGCTCAATAATAATCCTAGAGCTTTGGAACCCCGAGTAAAGAACCTAACAAAAAATGAATTAGAAAATGTAAAATTACATTACATGTTTAAGTTTCTTAGAATTGTTCAATTCAACATATTAAAGAGTTTTCTAAAATATATGTTGTTTGTTTTCTGTGTTAGACTTCCATTTGCTGTTTTTAATAATGTGAATTAGTCAATGGGGGGTGGGGAGTTTTATTTAAAGTTGGGTTTTATAGAGGGTTATTATTGTGTTATAACCTAATTTCTGATGCTCTATTATAATCTAATAAGGTTAAAAGCTGACTTCATAGCTTGCCTACTAGTTTTGGATGAGATTTTTTGAGATTTTTCTTAGGGAAAGAAGTAGAAAGCAATGACTGTCTAGAAAAACATGGCCAACCATCTCTGGATGTATTCCATTTCTTTTTGAGGTATCTCTTGCCATCATTGATGATAATTATTGATGTTTCTTACTTACAAATTCCACTTGCTACACAGAATACACTGTAATGCATGTGCAATTGACTGCTGACATGGCTGAGCTGAATACTGGCCACCTGCCTCACCTCATGATATTAAGAAAGGACTTCAACAGCTCCAAGGGTTTAGCAGTCTTAAAAACTATCATACTTCAAAATCTTTAAGACCACACCAGGAAGGCAGACATGAACATTAAGTGGAACTACATGAAGTTTTAAGATTGCGTCTTAGTCTCTAATTTTTAAGTACAGACTGATTACGAAGACAACTTTATAAATTTTTTGCTACCATTATAAAATATTTCATTAGTTTTTGTGCTATGCTAATACTATTTGTCTGAAACACTTTTCAAATTTTATATATTATATTTAAGCCTCAGAACTGAATAAAATGTTGAATTTTTCCATTGTTACGCTACCATGCTTTCTGTTAAAATGTTAAATATATGAAATTTCTTTAATAGATGATAACTTTGTTTTGTAGCATAATAAAGATTCCATGTGTGGGAACTTTTGCTTATGGCTAGAGAACAAAATATTTATTTAGTAATTTTTATATTTGAGGTTGGAAAAATGCTAAGTGAAGAAGCAGCAATTTGACCAGGGACATTTAGCCTGAAATCCTTGGAATTTGGAGATCAGAAATGTATGGAGATAAAGCTCATGACATCCACAGCGTATGTGTACATAGGCATGCCTTATTTTAGTTTATTATTATTTTTTCGGCTCATGCCTCCAACAACTGAAGGGGTGTTAACACTGGTTGTTTAATTTACTAAGCTATATACAGCTGATATACAGTAGCAAGGTCCAAGTGCTGTGGATGTTATCCCTGCTCTGCCCAGATCCTTTCTAATGGGTCATCGTACCTATTTCCTAGCTACTCCTGAACAGTTCCCAGCTAATCATCTCTCCAGGGAAATGCTCTCAGTTGAAATGAAGAGTCAGAGTGCAGTGCAGTAACAAAAAAAAAAAAAAAAAAAAAAAAAAAGTAATTTTTCTTCCTTAAAATATTTATTTACTTATTTATTTGCAATGCAGCATTAACAGAGAGAGAGAGACAGAGACAATTCCTTCTACTGGTTCACTCCCCAGATGGCCCCAGTGGCCAGGGCTGGACAGAGCTGAAGCCAGGAAGCTGGAACTCCATTTAGAGTCTCAGGTGGATGAAGGCGCCCAAGCACTTAGGCCATCCTCTGCTTCTTTCCCACACACATTACCAGGGAACTGGATGGGAAGTGTAACGCCTGGATGCCTGTGGAATGCTGGCATTGCAGGCAGTGGTGAATCGCTCTGTGTCACAGCAACAGCCAAGAACTGGTCCCCTTGATTCAAGGCTGGGACAAACTTGCCGTGAATTTCTTGTTCTACAGCTTGGGAAAGGATTGGGCTGAAGCAGGATCCAAGCTGAGATGATATCTCTGTTGCCTTTTTCCCTACATTTTCCCCACTTCTCTTCTTCCTGAGAGCATTACCTCAGTGAATCACTGTAGGCAAACCATATCTTGTTAGATATCGTGTAGATGCACAGCACTAATGTGGTACCACAGGGCAAGGTGAGGATCAGCTTAACGGATTGCTGTCAGAATTAATACTTCTTTTGAGGTTAAATATAGTTCTGGGTCAACAAATCCCTTCTCTTCTCATTGTAACAGATCTTTTGAGAAAGCAGAGCTCATAGATGGTGGGACAGCTTGGAGAAGGGAGCATCTTAACAGGACCAAAACACATTGCCTAGAAGAAAGACATCAGGGTGCCTACAATTAGAAGATTGTCAAAAAGCCTACAATTTTTCTTTCCTTGTGACATTTTACCTTTTGCCCATTTTGCTAATCTCAGTTCTAGATAATAAAAGGAAAGAATAATATTCAAACCACTTCTTGAGCCTTCCTGTTAAAAAAAATTGTGTTTTGTAAAATATCTTTTTGGATAACATTTACTAAGCACTCTTGATTTTGGCATTCAGTCTGTTGAAAAGCTTGGATTCCTAGATTTGAAGTGAAAGTGGGCACTGTGCAAAATGGGACCCAGTATCTTCAAAGAGTTCTGTACACTTTAGGAACTTAAAAAATATGGAAATATATTGTGGTTATTACAAGAGAGCTAGTACAACTTAGGATAACTGGATTGCCCAGTCATGTCCAATATTTTTATGTTTCAAATATGCAAAATGAAACCATTTTATTTATTTATTTACTTTTTAAAGACTTATTTATTATTTTTATTGCAAAGTCAGATATATATAAAGAGAGAAGAGGAGAGACAGGAAGATCTTCCACCTGATGATTCATTCCCCAAGTGACCTCAAAGCCGGTTCTGCACTGATCTGAAACCAGGAGTCAGGAACTTCCTCTAGGTCTCCCACACAGGTGCAGGGTCCCAAGGCTTTGGGCTGTCCTCGACTACTTTCCCAGACCACAAGCAGGGAACTGGATGGGAAGTGGAGCAGCAGGAATACGATCCTGTGCCCATATGGGATCCTGGCTTTTTTAAGGTGATTACTTTAGCCGCTAGGCCACCATATAGGGCCCTGCATTCTATTTTTAAGGATTATTTATTTTTATTGGAAAGGCAGATTTATTAGAGAAAAACCTTCCATTCATTGGTTCACTCCCCAAAGAGCTACAGTGGCTGGAGCTGAGCCCATCCAAAGCTAGGAGCCAGGAGTTTCTTCCAGGCCCCATCCCGGTGCTGTGCAAGAAAGCTGGGACTGGGGACAATCTGGGATGAGGAGAGCTGCAACAATCTTCAGCCTGCATGTGAGTTGGGTTTGGGGGAGGACCAGGCTAAGCCAGTCAACTGCATCTACTGGCTCATGCAAAAGCTATAGTAAGTGCCAACTGGCTCAGCTTTACCACAGCATCCACTAGCAAGTACTGAGACAGGATGCAAGTTGTGTCAGACTGGACTACAGTAATCCCTGGAAAGTGCAAGATCTGGGACTGGGCCTAGTAGGGAAGTTGTGGACACTCCTCTGCTGGGCTGCAGCTTCCACTTGTGAGCATGACAGTCTGGGTTGGGGGTGGACCTTGCTGGACAAGGCAGCAGTATCAGTTGGCATATGTATGAACTGGGTTGTGGGGTGCAGTGGGCTGAGCTAAGCTGTAACAAGCATAAGTGTATATGAGAGCCTCATTGGGATGTGGCCTGGACCAGAGTAGTCTGCTGTAAACACTGGCATGCACAGGAACCGGGCCTAGGGGCAGGTCTGGTAGCGGGTAATGGGAGCTACCCCAACTAGGCTGCAGTTCCTGCTGGTGAGTATAAGGGCCAGATCTATAGTAGGCTATATTCAGTATCCCATAGGTTTGCATAGGACCTGTAGCTGGGGATAGAACTGATCAGGCAACCACAATCATTGGTGTGCGTGTAGTCTGATACATGTGATGGTCTGAACTGGATCCTGTCCTGGCAGGCACATGCAAGAGTTAGGTCTGGAGTCATCCCAGGTGAGGTTTCTTGGGGGACTCCCCAACCAGACCACAGGCCTGAAAACTCTGGCCACAGGGTAGATCATAGGATTTATAGTCTGACCTTGGACCACATGCATGTATCAGAACTGGGTCTCCTCCTTTGCTGATGCAGATGCAGTGGATGACATGCCCTGGTGCATATGGGAGACAAGACTGCAAGCTCTTTTGGGCCTTCAGAGCACAGTGCATGTCAGAGGATGGAGAACAGAGCAGGTTGGACAACTCTCCTGGCTGAGCTTTGGCAGCAAGTGTCTGGGTGAGTGGGTGCACTGGGGTGGACTCTGTCAGCCAATGGTCTTTGGAAGGATTTTCTATCTTGAAGCAACAAAACCAACAGCATCTCAGAACTATCAAAACTACTCAAGCAATATTCTTGGAACATTCTTCTCCACATTGGGGTTTCTAAGAAGACATCAAATGGTCATTCTCTCATCCCCAGGTACTGATGAGGTTTGGCAGCTGGGAGCACCCTTTCTCCCCCCATGTAGGAGAAAAAGGAAGATAAGGAAAATTGGAAGCATTTGTCCCACCCACCTTTCCCTATGTCTTGACCGGAGCTCCCCATCTTAGTCAGTGGTCATCATGGGTATCCATCCTTATTAATTATGTAAAATAACATACAATTAACTTAAAAAGGATTGAATATAAATCAAATCTGAAACTCCTGCTGTCTACTACAAAATTGCACAATTATAGATTTGCAACTCATGCTATTTGTTCTGCTTTAACTTGAAAAATACAATTATGAAGACACATTTTAAAAATACTGTCTTCAGTTTTAATGTCTAATTGGCGATTATTAACAAAATAGCTCACATAAACCAAAGTTGGTCTCTGAGCTCTTCAACAGACTTAGGCGTTTGTAAAGCAAAATAAACTGCAGCTGTCAGACAACTTGGTCGCGACAGTAGCTAACTCTTTCTAACAGCGCCAGCGGCCGGCAGAAGCCCGGGCTTCACCTCGATGCTGCTTTGCTGACCTATTCCCTTAGGGCAGGGCTGAGGCGGGAGCCAGCGTCTCCCGTCTCTATGGAAACAGCCCTTCCCACCCCCAGACCCCGGTCCTTGGTCACCGTTCTTGTCCACCTCTGATTGGATCAGGCTTACGGAGGCGGGACTTCGTTTTGTCTTGGGGCCAATCACATGGACGTGCTGACGTCACGTCAGCGCCGCTGTTCGGCCTCCTAGCCGGAGCTTCGTTGGGCGAGGCCGCTGGAGCTGTTTATAGTCCCTGGTAGGGGACGCGGGGCGTGCGCTTGGGGAACCTGCGAGCGTCCGGTCTGGGTCGCCGGCATGGATCTGGTTTTAAATCGTGCGGACTACGTGCAGGTATATGCGAGGATGCGTTCCTTGGCTGAGGTGGCTGCGGGATGGGGGCACCGGGAGCTGCTACCCTCCTTGCGGGCGGCTCGGGCGGGTCTGTGAGGAGCTTTCTGGAGGTGGGAAGGGCAGCACACACCCCGATGGTCTGGCGCTCGCCTCATCCTCACGGCATCCCGCCGCTTTGCTTTCCCCTCGGCCCTGCCCCTGCCCTTGTGCTCTGGCTGCAGCTGCCTTGGGGTCCCTAACTGTCTCCTTTCCCGCCAGCCAGATAACTGTTTCTCACCGTGAGCTAAAAGCCATGACAGCCATTGATGGAGTGTTTGCGCTAAGAGCTAAGCGTGTATAAATATTTACTCCTCCTGATGACCACCCAGGGGCTCCCGAAAGGATAATAATTCTTGTCATTGGTGGAGTTGCTATGTGGATTAAAGGCGTGAACTCCAGACCTCTTTGCTTCTGTTACACTATCGTGCCTTTTAGGATTTGTCTCAGCCCTAGAATTACCTTTCCCGATTCCCTGACTTCTTCGTTTTCATCCGTGTCCTGTTGTAGCTATTGGTGCGAATTTTCCTTGGGAGTTAGGCTAGGTATTTCTGCTTTTAATATCTTCTGTATCCAGTCACCGCATGCTCTGTTTTCACATCCCAAATCTCTCTTGGATCTGTCTCATTTTCTCCATCCCCTTTATTCTGAGTTCAATCTGGTCTTCCCTTGGGTAATTAGCAAAGCTGCATAATTGTGCTCAGAGCCTCCAGCTTCACCTCCATGGCACTTAGCAGATGGATATTTCAAAACCCAAATCTTAACAGATTAAACTGCACTACCACTCACTGGAATGCCGAATAAAACCATATTTGCATTCATTCAGTATGCATCGTTTTCCCTAGCCTCCTCCCCCAACTGTTGACCAACAAATGTTGACATTTCTCTGCTGGACAAAAAAAAAAAAAAAATGCAGTTGGGCCCTGTGCTGTAGCCAAGAAGCTAAAATCCTCGCCTTGAACGTGTCAGGATCCCATATGGGCACCAGTTCTAATCCCGGTGGCCCACTTCCCATCCAGATCCCTGCTGGTGGCCTGGGAAAGCAATGGAGGACACCCAAAGCCCTGACACCCTGCACCCATGTGGGGACCCGGAGGAGGCTCCCTGCTTCAAATTGGCTTAGCTCCGGCCTTTGCGGATGTTTGGGGGAGTGAATCAGTGGATGGAAGATCTCCCTCTATCTCTCCTTCTCTAAGTTCCCCCGCCCCATCAAAAACCTTTATATCTCTTGTAAAATAATCTTCATCATTTGCTCCAGCCAGCAGAGCCAGTAACGTGGACAGGGAGAGGGTCTGGGGATGAAGCACCAACAGGAGACCAGTGATGGTGGAAGTCTCTGCGAAGTCTTGCTTTATTGCTCCTTCACCTCTCCTTATATACTCTTCCCCCCACATCCTCATTTAGCAGGATATTGGATACAGATGAGTCCAATTAGTCTAGGTGTTTTTAGCCACAAGCCCAGTTCCTGTTCCTGCCCAGGTTAACAAGCACTAATCAACTCCTTAGCCCACAACAGGTCCCCCTTTTTTGTTTTAAAGCAGACTTGAATGTGCCTGTCTTAGGTTGTGGACTCTCAGGTTATCAGCCTTACCTGTCATCGGGAATCTCCATAGCATGACGGAGCCCCTGTCTTAGGTTGGTCAGTGCCCGGTCCATCTTACCTGTCACTGGCTGCCATTCAATGCGTTGTCTGCTGCAGCTGCACAAACCATACTTGGGGAAGCTGGTAACCCTGTTCCATGGCTAGGAGTATCTTTAGCTTGGTAGCAATGAGCAGACAGCAGTTCCCGGGCTTGGGAAACATTTTGCACTTGCATAGGTGTTACATACATAAAGACATTTGATGGGGAACAAGAGGCCCTGACCATATCTGCTGCTCCTCTGCCAACAAATCAACCTGCTGTTACAACATAAGCATGCCCACCTGCACGTGTTCATCTATACAGTTCTGTTGTTCCATAGCTCAGGCAGTCAGTTCTGCAAGCTTGTTCATGGTCTCAGTGGTCACTGTAGGGTGTCCTAAGGTCACTGCTGCTGTACTGGCTACGATGGTCACTGTTATGCCGAAGTCTGTTTTGCGCTGTATTAGGCCAACAGAGGCCTTTCCGTTAGCCCTGTCAGGCACAGGCAGGATTCCAGGCCATTCCAACATGCTGTTAGGGTGCAGCTGACCTCGGTGCAATTCACTTCAGAGACGTTTTCTGTATGTAAGAGAGAAAAAGGGGATAACACAGGCAGACACGGGCTTAAAATTCAAGGAGCTGAGGTTCACCCACATGAGCAAGTCCTCAAGTCCAGAGGAGTGATAGAACTAATAAATTCCATAGGAATAATTGCATTCCTGAAGAAGGGAAAAGGGGGGCATGTCAGCGCATGTCCATACCCCACAAGCTGCCACATAGAAAAGGTGGGTATTTTCCCCGTGGTAATAACAGGGGAATGATAAGAAAAAGTACGGGTTAGAAATTTTTAAAGGGAGGGCCAGACCCCCAACAGCTGGGGTCACACACTAGGCAGTCTGGTAGTCTGATTTAAGGAGAAACTGGCAGGAAATATCAGGACCTCGGTGCTCATAGGAAGAAGACAAAAAGGAGGGGTGCTTAACAATGACCCAATATACTTGCTTGTCCTGTCGACCTTCCGACTCAAATGCCATCACCATGGCCAGTACCCGAGCTTTCACAAGACTCAGCAGCAGGAGCTTGCCAGACAAGCCTCTCAGGAATCCACCGTGGGCCATTTTCGTTTTCTGGGAAAACACAAACTGATCCTCGCCCCCATATGAGGATGGGATCTGGGCCTTGCCACTGACCAGTCAAGGGATCCTTCCACATCATGTAACCCTTCTGCTTCTGAGACGGATTCCAATGACGATCTGCAGCAGACCATCCTTCAGCATCCAATGTTAGAAAATTTAAGATAAATAATACAAGGTTCAAATGATCTTGGGGAATGCTATACTCCCCCTTTTTTGTTTTAATAAGATAATCCTTAATAGTATGGTTGGCACGTTCCACAATACCTTGTCCTTGAGGATTATAAGGAATGCCTGTAATTAGTTGTATATGGTGGGAGGCAGCAAAATCACAAAACTTACTGCTGATATAGCAGGGGCCATTATCAGTTTTGATAACTTTGGGAGTTCCCAAGATGGAAAAACATGCATAGCAATGGGCTAGAGTGTGCCTGACTTGTTCCCCTGTCTGGAAGAGTCTAGAATAAATCCAGAGCAAGTATCGACAGTAACGTACATACTTTAGTGTCCCAAACTCTGGGATATGTGTCACATCCATTTGCAAATAATCTTAATATAATTCAATCAACCTGATTAACTGTCTCCACAAAATGGGAGATAAATCTGTTGGCATTCTTGAGGCCTCGTAAGAATACCAAGGGAAGCCCTAGAATTTGAAATTTTTGAATTCTTGGATGCCTTTTTAAAGATGGCTAAAAACATCTGGACTATGGAAATTTTGGGGGGGTTTAATACAATTCTGAAAAAGTTGAAATTCCAAATAATTAAACAGAGAAATAAGTTGTATTTTGTCTGGGGCTGTAGCTAATCTTGCCTCAACTGAAGGGAGAGACGCTGAAGTTGCTCCTGTAAATCTTTCACAGCTGCACCCAGATTTAATGGTGCCAATGGCATAGGCAACACATAGGGCTCTATTCCCGGCCAAAAGAGATTTTTGCTTGGCACACGCTCTATGGGCACGTGCTCTACGGGTGGAGGATCCTCGAAAGACTCACTTCCATGCTCTTCCCCTTCCTCCTCCTCAGAAGAGGACTGCGAATCTTCTTCGCACAGTTTCTCCAGACTTTGGTCTGGGGTTCCTTTTCCTTTTTTACCCTGGTTTGGGGTCCCCTCTGTCTTCTTACTCTGGTTTGGGGTTCTTTCTTTCTTACCCTGGTTTGCAGTTCCCTTCCCCTTCTTACGGATAATCTTTCAAGGAAGGGTTGCACCACCACTTGAGGGGATGACAAAGCATTTTTTTTTACCAAGTGCCAGAGGAAAAAGGTGGCTACAAAGAGAGCAAACCATGGGAATACATCGCAGACAGTTTGAACAAACTTCTGCGAGGCCTTAAGCTTAGTGTCGGTGCCTTGTGGCTGGAGCAGATCTCGGATTCCCTTAATCATCTGCACTTTACCGAGTTCTTGCCCCATGATAAATTTTACTTATGCCCCTGCAAAATTTTTAAACTTGCCTCCGGATTTCCGGGGTCCCTCAGATTGTCCCTCGTGCCCCAGGATGGGGAGAAGGTCTGGGGATGAAATCATTAATGCCCCTCCAGAGTTCCAGGGGTCCCTCAGATTGTCCCTTGTGCCCTAGGACTGGGAGAGGGTCTGGGGATGAAATCACTTATGCCCCTGCAAAATTTTTAAATTCTAAACTTACCTTCATAGGTCCAGGGGTCCCTCAGATTGTCCCTCGTGCCGTGCCCCACGTTAGGCGCCATTTGCTCCGGCCAGCAGAGCCAGTAATGTGGACATGGAGAGGGTCTGGGGATGAAGCACCAACAGGAGACCAGTGATGGTAGAAGTCTCTAAGAAGTGTCTCGCTTTATTGCTCCTTCACCTCTCCTTATATACTCTTCCCCCCATGTCCTCATTTAGCAGGATATTGGATACAGATGAGTCCAATTAGTCTAGGTGTTTTTAGCCACAAGCCCAGTTCCTGTTCCTGCTCAGCCCAACGAGCACTAATCAACTCCTTAGCCCACAACAATCGTTAGGTTAGGTTTCATTGCCTAGAACAGGCCTGATATCTTGGCAGAAATTTCTTTGTTGCATTTTTGGGAACTATAATCTACTTTCCGAAGATTTTAAATCACTTTACAAAAAACCTTCAGCAACTCTGTGAGGTTGGGAAAGAAGGTTTCTAATTTTTTTCTTAATGAAATACTTTACCAGTATGTCATAAATTACTTTGGCTTGAGACATGGTGTACGTTTTACTATTTTTGGTGATTTCCTATGTTCCTTAGTAACATATTTCATTTGGAAATAAGTTCATTGCTGATGTTAGCCGTTATATCATCAATTTCAGTGATAAAAAGGCTACGCCCTGAATCTCATGGTCCATTTAGTCTCTGGTATCATAGTTTTAAATTACAGCATAGCAGAAGACGTACGTGCCTTGATTGGCTGGTGTGTTTCTTTAGGTGGGAGTGACCTCTCAGAAGACTATGAAGCTACTGCCTGCTACAAGACATCGAGCTACACAAAAGGTACGGTGGAGATACTGATTTCTTTGCTTCTCATTTGCTCCCACAGAAGATAGGTTCCTAATACTTTCTTATTGGTAAATTATACTTTAAAAAATGTTAATGTAGAAATAGTTAAATGATTAATTTGAGCAGAAATTAGAATCCAAGGGAGTTTTCTAAACATGAATTCTCATAGTAGATAACGTAAAAGAGCTTGCTGAAGCTTATTCAGTAGAGAAGGGAAGTTCAGTGAAGCATTTAAGGCATCCCACGTTGGAGTGCCTGGCTTTGAGTTCCAGTTCTGTTGCCAATGAATATCATGCAAAGCAAAGGTGATCAGCTTCCTGCCATGTAGGTTTCAAACCTGCACTTTATCTCCTCTCCTGGCTTTGATTCAGCTCAGCTATGCTTGCATTTGGGGCATGAATAACAGATGGGAACTTTGTCTTTGTTTCTTCCTGCTCTGTCTTTCTGCCTCTCAAATAAAAACAAATAAAGCCCCATATAGCATGTGGTTATTTTGTGTGTACTAGATTGTATATATAAAGAAATACTTAACAGAAATAGAGAAAATGCTTACCTAAACTTTCTAATAATTTTTAAAGATTTATTTATTTTTTAATGATTTACTTATTTTATGAATGTATTTAAAAATACATCTTTAAATGTAGAGTTTACATAAAGAGAAGAGATAGAGAAGGTCTTCCATCCAATAGTTACTCCTTAAATAGCTGCAATGACCAGAACTTAGGTAATCCAAAGCTGGAAGCCAGTAGCTTATTCTGGGGCTGCCATGTGGATGTCTGGGCCACAAGCTTGAGCCTGCCTCTTCTGCTTTCCCAGGCCACAAGCAAAGAGCAACTGGATGGGAACTTGTACCCATATGGGATACCAGCACTACAGGCAGAGAATTAGCCTGTGTGCCACCATGCTGGCCCCACAACTGTATTTTTCAAAACAGAATTTGGTGTTTCATTTTTGACAATTCTTTAAAATCTGATATAACCGAAGAAAGATAGATTCCTATAGCTGTTTTCTGCATTCCTGATGTTGTTTTGGTTAAAATATAAAGAAAATCCAACTTGAATAGTTGGAAATAATTGAAAATTGAGATGTGTATTGAAGTAGTTTTTCTAAATAATTCCTATTTGATGCTACCTAAACTTGATATATAGTAATTATAGCATGAAATCTGAAACTGTATTTATGAAATTTTATGCTTTGGTACATTAAAATCATTCATTTATCTTTTTTATTTTATGGTTTCATAACATCCAATAATACTTGGGATTGTTAAGTAATTGTTTTGTATAACTTCTAATGTTGATATATTATAAAATATTAAACACATTGTAAACATCACTACCAATGTCATCAGAAAAGTTAAATGTTTCAAAGCTGTCAAGCTTACAATGGCAAGTGTATGTATTCATTTGAAAGCTCAAACTTTTTTTCTTAAGATTTATTTGTTTATTTGAAAGCAGAGTTACATAAAGGGAGAGGTGGGGAAGAGAGGGATCTTCCATCCCCTGGTTCACTCCCCAAGTGACTGCAATGGCTGGGCCAAGCTGAAACCAGGAGCCAGGAGTTTCATGCAGATTGTTCATGGAGTGGCAGGGACGTGTGTTTGGACCATCTCTCCTGCTCTCCTGGGCCCTTAGCTGGGAGCTGGATCAGAAGTAGAGCAGCTGGGATTTGAACTTTTGTTCAAATGGGATGCCAGTGTCTCAGGAGGCAACTAGTGTACCACAATGCCAACATGAGAAAGTTCAGTGCTTGTCACGCCTAACAAATAATGTTAGCTGTCTCCCTTTAAAACAACAGATTCGCTTCTTTGCGTTTTAAGAAAATGTCTGCTATATGCCAAATGTTAATATTTCTATAATTCTCCATAATTATATATAATGTTAATTTTTCCATGTTATATTTTCTATAATGTTAATAATTCTGTATTTTCCCAAGATAGTGTGTCTTGAAAAAAGCAGGTAGTTAATCTCATAACTGAGTAATTATATAATTGCTTTTTCTTATAACCACTTCAGTTTTTATTGGAAGTATTTTATGCATTGTTACACTACATATTAAAAAGACATTTAATCAAGAGTTACACTACATAATACTCCTATTTTGCTACACTACATATTAAAAAGACATTTAATCAAAAGTTACACTACATAATACTCCTATTTTGCTACACTACATATTAAAAAGACATTTAATCAAGAGTTCACATTTAATAAAATTAGTAACTTATTTCATTAATAATATTCTTATGAGAACCTGGTTATTTTTCTCTGCTATAAAATAATAGTGAAAATTACAAGTGATCTGCTTATACTTTGATGTCATTGCTGAATCTTATCAGACTGCTTATGCACCCTTGTTGCAACCATTAAAAAAGGGCAATAAAAGTAGTTTTGATTTGGTAGATCCCCTAAAATATTCTGATTTCTCCAGAATTCCAGGAGTCTCACTTTGGGGATTCCTATTAATAAATTACTATATTAAAATTATTGGGATAATAAACTATCAAAGAATTCAGAATCTTACATAGTTTTATATGTTTTTGTCTGAAAGTAAATTTCTGTCAATGCCATTGATCTAAGTGTCACCTACGAATGTGGCCTTATCCTTGGGAGATGATCCACAGCTTATGTTACAAAAAGGACTTTTGGTTCCCCAGGCAAGTTTAAAATTAGTGGTTCTGGAATATGCTCTGTGTGATATAAACCTTTTGATTCTTGAGATTTATTTTATATTCTAATACAGGATCAATTTTCAGATGGTTTGTGTGATTGAACCATCTATAATCTAATGAGATGAGCGATTCATTTATTTGTATAGAAACACAATTCCCCTTACATATGTGAGGAGACTTCAAATATGTAAAAGATAAAAATAAAAATTATAATATTTAATTCTCAACATATGTTCCATCAAGTTCAATACATTTTGTAAGCTATGTTGCCAGCCATTTATTTCATGCCGAAAGAATGGATGGTTCTGGGATGTTAACCATGCCAGTGCAGTCTTTATTATCACTATTATTAACTGAAGAAAATGGGTTCCGTTAAAGTTTTTTTTTTTTTTTGAGATTGGGAAACTAAAAGAAGTCAGAAGGAACCAATTAACAATGTGAGGTGGATGCTTAATGATTTCCCACCGAGAGCTCTCAAATATTGTCCTGGTTTGATGAAAAAAGTAAGCAGAAAATTGTGATAGTGAGTTTCCTAGTGAAGCTCTTTTGGGTTTTCTTTTTTAAAGATTTATTTTTATTATTTTTTCATTGGAAAGGCGGATATACAGAGAGGAGAGACAGAGAGGAAGATCTTCCGTCCAATGATTCACTCCCCAAGTGAGCACAAAGGCCGATGCTATGCCAATCCAAAGCCAGGAGACTCTTTCCTGGTCTCCCATGCGGGTGCAGGGTCCCAAAGCCTTGGGCCGTCCTCGACTGCTTTCCCAGGCCACAGGCAGGGAGCTGGAAGGGAAGTGGGGCTGCTGGGATAGAACCGGCGTCCATATGGGATCCCGGGCATGCAAGGTGAGGACCTTAACCACTTGCGCCACCACGCTGGGCCCTTTTGGGTATTTTTATGCGAAAACTTATAACTATTTTTTTTCGGAATGTTCTCCTAATAAGTTCATTTTTTGGCCTTCCAAGAAGTCAACAAAATTCCTTGAGGCTTTAAAAAAAATGTTACCATGATCTTTGTCCTCTTTTGCTTTTATTGGACGACTTCTACCTCTTCGTGGAGCCGTTGCTTTGATTATGCTTTGTTTCAGGCTTGTCCCAGTAACATCGTGTGTTATCTCCTGGTCCAGTTCTCTGGCAGTCATTTATTACAGTGAAGGCTGCATTCTTGACTGCAGCTGCTCTGGGCACAAAAGTTTGGGCATGCATCCAGCAGAATGTTTGCTATACATTAATTTTCAGTAATAATTGTATGAACTGAACCAATTAAAAATCTATAGTGCTTGCTCTAGTTTCTAATACCAATTGTTGATCTTTTCAATTTGAGCACCAATAAGGTACTTTTTTCCTTGGAAATTGGATGGCCTGCTGCCATATGCTTCATTCTCTGTGTTGTCTGGTTCCTTCTTAAATCATTCATCTGTAGGTTGTTGATTTCTTTGGGAGTGTTTCTCCATAAACCCTTTATAAGACATAAATGCTTTCACCATTCTTCCACCCAAGCTTCATCAAGGAGCTTGATAATTTTTTGGGGGGGGGCTTTAGTTTAGTAGAATTCATTTTGCTCTGATGGAATGCCTTTTCAGACTGGTTCCTGTAAGATATGTTATGATAAATAGTTTATCTTGATGCAAGAAAGTTTGACATCTATGCATAGTGTTGACATGAAATATATTTTTCCATGAGCTTTTTGAGAGTCCCCCAGCTATACAAACACACAAATGTATGTGTTGGATATCAATTGTGGTGTTTTGCATTTTCTTAATAGAACAGATTTTGTATGTTTTGCTGGTACAGTTCCAAAAAGATAGTAACCTTTCCCTCAATCCTCTGCTCCTTTCCCAGTACCCATTTCTTAGTATTTGCACAGACATAATTGTAATCCAGTCTATATTTACCAGCTTAATTTGCCAGTAATCATAGTATTCAATTAGTAAAATAAAAGACTACAAGGCCATATTTCCACTGGAGTATAAACATAGGCAATCATATCCCAAAGTGATACTTCTTTCCTTTTTTTTAAGATCTATGTTTTTTATTGGAAATACAAATTTTTAGAGAACAGACAGAGAGATCTTCCATTTGCTGGTTCACTTGTCAAATGACTCTATTGGCTGGAGCCAAGAAAATCCAACCTGAAGCCAGGACACTCTTCCAGGCCTTCCACGTGGGTGCACGGTTCCAAGGCTTTGGGCCATTGTGTGCTGCCCTCTCAGGCTACAAACAGGAAGCTGGTTAGGAAGTGGAACAGCTGGGACATGAACAAGTGCCCCCATGGGATCCTAGCACTTGTGACAGGGGGATTAGCCAGTTGCACCATTGTATCAGGCCCCAAAGTTATATTTCATTTCTATGCATTTTTTTGTGTGTGTATTCTATATTAGATGCCACATATCAGAGAAAACAGAAAATTTGTCTTTTTGATACTGGCTTATTTTGCTGAGCATAATGATTTCCAATTGTATCCATTCTATTGCAAAAGATAAGATTTATTCCATAGTGTATGTATACCACATTTTCTTAATGAAAGTTTGGATTAATTCTGTGATTTATCTGTTGTGAATTGAGCTGCAATAAATATAAAGTACAAATAGCTCTTGCATACATTGATTTCATTTCCTTTGGGTAAGTTCCCAGGAGAGGTGTGGTTGGATCACATAGCAGATCTAGTTTCAGATCTCTTGGTAATCATGCTGTCATCCTAAATGGCTGCACTACTTTCCAGTCCCTCCAGCAGTGTATTAAAGGACCTTTTCAAACCCCACATCCTTGCCGACATTTGTGATTTTTTCATGGTAGTGATTATAATTGGGATGAAGTGAAACCTCATGTGTTTTTAAAATTTAAAATAACTGGTAATTGTCCCTGTAGTATAGATAGATAGAAAGATAGACAGGTATAGATATCTGTTTTTTAAATTAAGGGTATTAACTTATTTAAAATTTTTTTAAAGTTTTATTTTTATTGGAAAGGCAAATTAACAGAGAGAAGGAAAGACGGAAGGAAAGATCTTTTTGGCTCACTCCCCATGTGGCCCCAATGGCCAGAGCTGAGCTGATCCAAAGCCAGGAGCTTCTTCTCGGTCTCCCCATACTGGTGCAGGGTCCCAAAGCTTTGGGCCATCTCCATTGCCCTCCCAGGCCACAAGCAGAGAGCTGGATGGGAAGTGAAGCATCTGGACACGAATCAGCGATCCTGGTGTGTGTAAGACAAGGATTTAGCCACTAGGCTATCATGTCAGGCCCCTATAGACATCTGCTTAATTATCAATCTCTGAAAAAGAAGTGTTAAAATTTCTGACTTTCCAATGAAAACCAAAATATTAAAAAAAAAATTGTTGAATGACAATTTTCTGTACTTATTCATATGCTGAGCTTTTTCCAATAAAAACGTTTTAGAAGGTTTAGTTAAGAGAAAAATTCACTTTTGCCACTTTAGTTCATATGATCTTCTTACAGTGAACATTGTAAGAACAAAGTTGGAAGGTAAGTTCATGGAAAAATTGATGTAAAAGGCAAACTTATTTTGGTGTAAAATTTTTGAAATCCACATCTGATTTTCTCATAATTTTTTTTAAGATTTGTTTATTTTTATTGGAAAGTTGATATACAGAGAGGAGGAGAGACAGAGAGGAAGATCTTCCATCCGATGATTCACTCCCCAAGTGGCCGCAATGGCTGAAGCTGAGCCAATTCGAAACCAGAAGCCCAGAGCCTTTTCTGTGTCTCCCATGTGGGTGCAGGATCCGAAGGCTTTGGGCCTTTCTCGACTGCTTTCCCAGGCCACAGGCAAGGAGCAGGATAGGAAGCAGGGCTGCTGGGATTAGAACCGGCGCCCATATGGGATCCTGGTGTGTGCAAGGTGAAGACTTTAGCCACTAGGCAATGCACTGGGCCCTCATAATTTTTTTTAATGAGCTTTCTGGAGATGCCTCAATATATATGGATTTTTTTTAAAAAAAGCATCAAAATAGATGTTACTTTCTAATTTCTTTTTTCCAAGAACCTTTTGAACTAGCTCTGTATTGCAATTACTTTCATTTTTGATTCTCCATAGCTTTCTTTTTCGGTCTTTCTTGTTCTTTGAAAGATTAGTTTTGTAGAAATTGCTTTCCTAGATTTTCTAATAGCTCTGCTTTTAAAACTGTAATTTACTTATTGAGAATCTTGCTTTTCTCATAAAGGACATATTGATAATAAGTTTGGATTCTCTTCAATATATTACAGGTGGTTGTTGGAGACCATGATGGGGTAGTTATGTGCTTTGGCATGAAGAAAGGAGAAGCAGTCGTAAGTATAGCTTTTTATCAAGAGAAGAAAAGCTTTTCTAAAAGAGAAATGCCTTACTTATTGAACACCTGTAATGTATGCATTTTTGAAAATGCAGACAAGGGAAAATGGGTTGTAAAGGAGGTAATTTATGAAGGATGAGGCTGCAAGTGGCCTAAGCGCCAGATTTTCTAGACTGTCTAACAAATTACCTAAAACTTCAGGTCTTACAACAGTACATGTCTTTTATTTCATAATTTCTGCGAGTCGGGAGTCTGGGCTTAAGTTTCACATGGCTGCAGTTTAAACGGCAGCTGGCCTGTGTCCCTTCCTAGAACACAGCTGCTCTTTCATAGTCTCATGGTTGTTGGCTGAACTCAGCTCCTTGCTGTTGGAGTCTGAGGCTCCCACTTTTTAGGCTTGGGCTTCTCCCAGCCCTTTGATGTTTCCACATTCCCTTGCCATGTGGCCTCCCACAGTCCTTCACACAACTCGGTAACCTACTTATTGAAAGACAGCAGGAAAATCCTGTCAGTTAGAATGGAGTCTTACATAGCCTAATGAAATCACAGACGTGATTGTCAGGATGCTTGTCACTTCATGCAACTTAATCAAGGAGAGGATTACTATTATGTCACCATATTCACAGATCCATAGTTTGTAAGTGGAGAGTCTGAGTTGGTAATTCTCAGTATTTAATGCACAGTTTGCAAAATTTAAAACGATGAAGAGAGTGAAAATGACCAGAAATCCAGTGTTTCCATTGTTGATGTGTTGTCCTACATATTTTATTCTCTTTATATAAAGTTTAGAGGGTCAGACAAGTACAAATAAGAAAATAGAAGTAGCCAAGAACAGAATTAATGCTAAAAACGAAAGAAATGAGGAGAGATTAATTTTTAATGTTCAGTTTTGAAAGGCAGTTAGAGGGAGAATGAGAGACACAGAGAGAGAGTGATCCTCTGTCTGTTGGTTCACTCCCTAGATGGCTGCAGTGGCTGGAGCTGGGTAGGTTTGAAGCCAGATCAGGGAACTTTGTCTGAGTGTCCCTCATGGGTGGAGGGACCCAAAGGTGAGAGCATTCCTCCACTGCTTCTCCAGGACACCAGCAGGGAGCAGGAATTAGAGTAGCCAGGACATGAATTGGAACCCATATGGGATGCTTTTGCCATGCCACAGGCGGAGTATTCTCCTGCTTTTCTATGGGACTAGCACACCCCCTATTTATTTTAAAGAGGTGATTAAAGTGTGAAAATGTGTCCAGTTGACCTAGTTAAGTAATTTGCTACATAAGCTTTCCTGTAGATGAGAATATTGCTTAAACCAGTGCTTCTTTAATATATCTAGGAACTGTCTGGGAAATCTTGTTAAAATGAAGATTTCAATTCAATAGATATGGAATTAAACTCGAGATTCTCTGTTTTCATCAGTTAGCAATGTTAATGTTGCTGCTTAATGAACCATGCTTACAAATGAGAGTGCAATCTTTACTTATGTCATATTGTATGTAATATATTCCAAAGTTTAAGAATATTCAACAATAAAAAACCCCCAAAACAAAAACAAACCAAAAAACACCATAAAAAACGGAAAAAAAGACCTGAATCGATCTTCAACTAGAGGTGTTTCTATATAGTAGAACTATAGTATTTTATAAATTTAAAATCATAGTTAGTACATTTTAAGGTAAAAGAAAAAGGCTTACAATAAAGAAGCTTGTGTTTTACCTTTTTCTCTCTGAATGCAATGTTCAATGTTTTGCAGGCAGTGTTCAAGACTCTCCCGGGCCTGAAAATTGAGCGGCTGGAGCTAGGAGGGGTTCTTAACACACCGCAGGAGAAAATTTTTGTTGCTGCAGGATCTGAGATTAGAGGCTTCACAAAGAGAGGAAAGCAGTTCCTCTCGTTTGAAACAAACCTCACTGAAAGCATTAAAGCCATGTATGTTTTTTTCTTTTTGCTTTTTATATATGTATTGGTCATATTTTGTATAGATTGTAAAGCAGCTTATGAAGTATTAACATCTAAAAGGTTTTTTTTTTTGAAAATCAAGTTGTTTAAAGTGTTTTGCTAATTAAAATTTACCATAGACTCAAAATGTATTGACTGTTAAAATGTTGTTTTCTGTTTAAAACTTTGTCATAATTATAGCTTACTTCAACTATAATTCATCATGAAGTACTAGAGGATAAAAACATACCTCTAGATATTTAGGTTTATATTCTTTGGCCATCTTTGGGAGTTCTGGTTTTGAGGAAGCAACATATACTAAAAGGCTGGCTATCAAATTTGGTGACTTTCAGGTTAAGTCAGCTAAGACTCTAAGAAAAATAACTCCCTTCATGATTTCCTGGTATGTGAAATTTTTGCAAAATGTTAATGTTTGACTCATGGGGTAAGGGACAGGGCTGTTAGAAAGGGATTTAGAATTCATCTGACTTGCTGTTATTATACCTGCTACTCAGGAGGATCTTTTGGAAGATTAGGATGCTTTGTCCTGTTTCATATTTGCTGATTCAGAGTAATCAAGAATGGGCCTAATGTATTTTTAGAAAACAGTTCTTCATTTGAATCTGAACCAGTAAATTTGCACAAACAGCTAGACCACTACTAGATTAGGAAAGTACAATCTGTAATGCAAAGCCCTCTGTGTAATTCCATAGAGTGCACCGTGACCACCTGCTGTCTGAGCTACACAACTGTGGCTTGAAAAGATTAGATCAAAATTACACAATCGCAGGTGGAAGTACTTTTAAGTGATTTAACAAGAATGTAATATTTTGACATACTCTTTTAGACAGGGCCAAAATACTTGTGAAATACTGAAACTAAATGTTAATTAGCATATCCCTATGTCAGAGAGGTACAGAGACAAAGGTGTGAGGAAAATAAGTCGTTTCCCAGTAATTCTTACATCTTCTTAACCTTAAATATTTTCACTGGAGTGGCAGACGTACATTTAAGAGATCTTTTTTTAAAAAATTTTTTGAAGGTTTATTATCTTAATCTGAACATTAATGTCTCACAGTAAAACAAAAGTTATAATTTCAAAATATTCAGGAAGACAACTATTTTAAAAAAATAATTAATCCTATATATCCTTCCCCACTCAATGCATTGATTTATTCCCCATTCTTGTCAAGAATACTGTTTGCTTTGGCTATCGTAATGCATGTTGACTTCAAAGTGGAATTGCAGAGCATGAAAAAGATACAAAATTGTGTAAGTTGGTAAGAATGATATTATGTGGGGAACGGGCAGGGTTGACGTTTGGCATAGCAGATAAGACACTGGTAGACATGCCTGTGTCCTTCATTAGAGTGTGTGGTTTGAGACCCAGCTCCTCTGTCACCAATGCAGTCTTGTGATAGTACAAAATCTGGGAGAAAGCAGATACTAGTTCCTGCCAACTATATGGGAGACCTGTATTGAGCTCCTCTGGGCTCCTGGCTTTGGCCTCATGCACCACTGGCTGTTGTAGGCTTGCAGGGAATAGATTAGCAGATGCATTTCTCACTGGCTCTAATCCGTTCAAAATAAAATGAAAATAAATAAAAATTTAAAAGATAGTTCAACTTGGATATTAAAAAATGATATTAAGAGGGATATTTAATCACTTGTAGTCACAAAGTAGGACCACTTAATTGAAGAGGAGAAAATCAATGATCATTAAGTTCTGCAAAGAATAATGTAGTATCATGATTTTTTTAGAGAAAAGATTTACTCATTTAACTTGAAAGAGGTACAGAGAGATTTTTCATCCACCTATTTAACTAAGTCAGAACTGAACTGATCTGAAGCCATGACCCAGGAGCTTTTTCTGGGTCTTCCATGTGCATTGGTGCAGGGGCCCTACGACTCGGGCCATCCTCCACTACTTTCCTAGGCTGTTAGCAGGATGCTGAATTAGGAAGTAGAACAGCTGGGACTTAAACTGACGCCCATATGGGATGGCAGCATTGCCGTTGAAGAATTAGCCTGATGCACTACAAGTATGAAGGTATTTCAGGAGGCTTTAAAGTGTGGGAAATCAAAAAAAATCTTGAGGTTCAGTTACTCTCTTTTGGTTTGTGGGGGTAGAAAGTGAGAGATGCATTTGCACTGTAATATAATTTTTGTCAAAAATTTTTGGGCCCCCACCATGTGAAAACATGATTCCTTCTAAGAATTAGAACTTTATTATGATTGTTGCCTAAATTATGTTAAGTATAACAAATTAACTTAATTTTTCAAGATAAATTCTAATGAAATAATTTTCTGTTGTTTATCTTTTAGTTGAAAGTAGATTCATTTCAAATAAATGTTAAAGTTGTTTCATTTCAAATAAACATGTCTAGGTGATTTAACTTGTTAGTAAGAAAGCTAATAGAGAGCTAAAAGCTGTGCAATTTACTGCCTACGCCACTGTTTACTGTTATGTGTTGTTGGGCAAGTTACTTAACATTTTATCATTCACCTGAAAAAGGGATAATAGTGTTCCCTAGTTTAAGGTGATTAAATGAATTAATCCATGTCAGATCACTTAGGACAATGGTTGGCCACATAGAATACATTCAGGATAAGTTTGTGCTATATTGATTTGCTTCAGATAAAGATTTGAATTCCCCTTACTTTTGTTTTGTTTTTTTTTGAGCTCAGTTTTTATTGAATTAGCCCAAGGATTTAAGATCCTTATTTTTAGTTTTCAGTCTATTATAAAAAAAAAAAAAACCTAGACATTAAATAGAGGAAATGAAAAAAAAAAGTCATTCTCTCTATGATGAAATAGTAATAAACAGTTTAAATAGTTTTGGGTTTTATCTTTTTTTTTTTTGAAAGATTCATTTATTTATATGAAAGGTAGACTTAGAGAGATTGATTGAGAAAGAAAGAAAGAGATTGATTGATTTTCCGTGTGCTGGTTCATTCCCCAAATGACTGCGATAGCTATGACTGAATAAGGGTGACATCAGGAGCGAGATCATATCCAGGTCTCCAAGTAGTTGGTTGGCAGGGTCCTAGTCATTTAGACCATTTTCTGTGGCTTTCCCAGGATTGTGAGCATGGAGCTAAATCATATGGTGTATCTGTTTTGAAGGTCGTGGCTTAACTTACTGTGCCACACAGTGGCCTCTAGTTTTGTTTTCATCCGAAAAAAATTCAGGAGTGACCTATGCTCACTTTTTTAAATTCATGTGTGTTAAATTACTATTTTAATGTTCTCAGGCACATATCTGGCTCAGACCTCTTTCTCAGTGCAAGTTACATCTACAACCATTATTGCGACTGCAAAGACCAACATTATTACCTTTCTGCGGACAAAATCAATGATGTCATCTGCCTTCCAGTGGATAGAGTGCCACGTATTACACCAGTATTGGCCTGCCAGGACAGAGTACTCAGAGTTTTACAGGTTGTCATTGTTTGTATTTTATAACTTTATATTACTTAGGTAGATGAATATTGATCAATGTTGTGTACTTGAGATAAATTGCTTTAGTTATGTCTGTTTTAAGTGTGCTACGTAAGTTTTTTTCTGGAAAAACTTTCAATGATTGATAATTTTTAAAAATTTATTATATTTTTGGCGATCTTTACATAGTTAATTAGGGTAAAAAGGTTCAAGGGGATAATTTATTTTTACTTAAAGCAAGTATGTTGAGATCTTTTATAAGTTTTTAGGAGTCATATTTTGAAGGAAAAAACTGCTTTTCCCATCTCCATCTACAATTTCTGAATTTGTACAGTCAGAATGGAATATTCCTAGTCCAAAGAACTTTTCTGAGCTTTTACAGTTGTTTTGTTGGCCTTTTATTTAGCAGAAGTTGTGATTGGCTAGATCAGTTGCTTCCAGTCATTGTTACTAGTCACAGTAGTTAAGACTGTGTCTTCTTGAGTCTGACTCAGTAAAACATACACTCTGTGAAACTTAAAGGCTTTTTTGTAATTTTTTTTCTTTTTTATTAGTATAAAAAAAGACCCTTGAAATTTAAAGGCGAAATGCATATGAAAATGGATTAATTGAGTTAAAAATTAGGCTGATAGTGGTGCGAAGTCTAAGTATGGATTTCATGCCTCTGCAGACCATGTCACTCTGTGAAACTCTATAGAAAGATGGCTGTTTCTTGGCATTTTGTAGAAAGAAACATCCACTAATTCTGTGAGGTTTTTTTCCCGTGTATGGGTAATTAGGTAATTTGGGGGATTCATTCTGTAGATATGAATAATTATTTTTTCCCTAACCTTATCTTTCAAATATGAGTTGTTGCACAGGCTTTTAACCAGAGCTGGAATTAAAAGTAGATTTGACTGAATTCTACGATTCTACTTTTTTGATAAGATGGGATCCATATTGTTAAAAAAAAAAGTGAAAGAAAAAAATTGCCTCCAATAAGAATTAGTGGAAAGAGTTGAAATCTACTTTGTACACTCTTTTTAATCTTTATCTACATTTTATTCAATCTGTTTCTCAAGAGGTTGTATTTTTTAACAGATATTTGTATATGTTATGTTTTTAGAGTTTTATGTATATATCTTTGAGTTTTAAAAATATCTTTAAAACATAAAGCATTGCGGTTTTGAAATGTCATAAAACATGTTAAACATTTAATAGTAAAAATAATAAATAAAATAATAGAATAGTATACTATATTATCTACATTTTTTTTAAGTTATAGTTTATTGAATTTAAAACCCTGGATACTTTTCCCCTGTGAGCGTCGGTACTGCTACCTTAATCTGTAATAGCTTATCAAATACTGTGTATGAAGAGGCTAGCACTACAAGTGGCAAAGCTGGGGAAAACATGTTAAATAAATACTTCGTGAATTTTGGAAATTTCCAAAAGCAAGACCAGAACTTTTCTTAGGAAGCTACTTTGTGTTTGCTTCAAATGTTAAAACTCTTCAATAGATCTTAAAGGGACAGAAGAAATAACTTGTTCCTAAAGAGTTTTGGTAAGATTTACTTATGTCAAGTTTTCAGGCACACAGTATGTTTAAAAATAAAAAGTATTGAAGATGGAAAATATTGTAATTACTTTCTTCTTGGTCTTTATATTTTATATGTATTTTATTTTCAAGGCTATTTACATATGTTTTATAACAGATACAAATTGATAATTATGACTTGCTTTTTTCCAACAGTTTTATGTTTTATTCTAGGTATTAGTAAGCATACTGTATTTTAATATTGATGTTATCTATGTTATTTTCATTTTTAAACTGTTTTAATTTATAAATGTTTCCTCTTTAGGGATCTGATGTGATATATGAAATCGAAATTCCTGGTCCACCAACTGTTTTAGAACTATGTAATGGAAATGGAGGTAATCATAATTTCATTTTTCCAACCAATGGTGTATTGTAAAAATATTAGATGAAACAGAAAATTGTAGAATGAATGAATATAAACTGGAAAAGTAACACATTTTTTTTTGGATAAGTTGTCAGTAATCAGCAATAATTAGTTTTTGAAAATAAATTGTAGTTTCTTCATCTAAAATTATGTGATGAGAAGTGTCTTATCTTGCCTGTGAATAAAGTGTTCTTTCAAAAGTTATCTTTTACAGTATTTAAAAATGAGTTTTCTAATGTGAAATCATTTTAATTTGAAGGAGATATTATGAATTATGGAATGGATATAATATGTTGACTTTCATTCTAAACAGGTAGCTCAGGAGAAGACATTCTATTTGGAACATCAGATGGAAAACTTGGGCTTATTCAAATCACTGCATCCAAACCAGTACACAAGTGGGAAATTAGAAATGAGAAAAAGAGGGGAGGTATGCTTTTGTTGTGGCTCAAATTCTGAAATTTCAATGCTTAGGAATAAAGTAAATTATTATTTAAGTCTTTTTTTTTTTTATTCACATGATATAACTCATTTAGGAATTCAAGAGCCAATTCTGAATTTATCTACTGTCTTATGTTAGGTCTAGCATATTATTGGCATACATTAACTGAGAAATATTAATGGTAATTTGGGATAAATAGGATTTTAAAGAATAATATGCATAATTTTCTATGAAAATCCATTTTTAAGGGTTTGGAATAGGGGATTAAGTAGAATGTGGGAGCACTTGTTACAAGGCAAAGAAAAAGTGCAATTGTAGATCAGGGCAGGGAATATTTGTATTTCCTAAAGAATGCATACCTATCTAGGAGGATTTATCCCTGAATTTGTAAGTGATAAGGTATCTTTTATTGCTTCAACAAATACTTGCTAGGGAAGATAGTATAAACAAATGAATATATAAATAGCTTTTCTTGGTCACCTGAAAAAGATACAATAGGAAAATGTGTTAGTGAATAATAATTAAGGAAGTTTATGGGCTGCTTTTTACTGAGTGGTTAAAGAAAGTCTCTTGGCCTGGAAGAAGCTCCTGGCTCCGGATCGGTGCAGCTCTGGCCATTGCTGCTGCTTGGGGAGTGAATCAACAGAAGGAAAATCTTCCTCACTGTCTCTCCTCCTATCTGTATACCTGACTCTCCAATAAAAATAAAATAAATCTTTTTGAAAAAAAAAAAAAAAGAAAGTCTCTTGGAAGTGGTGGAAATTTGAGCCAAAATCTAATTGATAAGAAAATACATTAGAAATGTAAGGATTTGGGGAGAAGAATCTTTCTTGAAGAGGGGAAAAATGTGAAAAGGACTTGGTTCTTTTAAACAACAGTAGGAAGATTAGTGTAGCTAAATGAATTAACCTGGTATGAAGTGAATTGAAAGAGTTAGGGTTTCTGGCTTCGGGCTTTGGATTGGTGCAGCACCAGCCATTGCGGTCACTTGGGGAGTGAATCAGCGGACGGAAGATCTGTCTCTTCCTCTCTGTAAATCTGACTGTCCAATAAAAACAAAATAAAATGAATGTTTAAATTTATTTAAATCTGTATATCTGTCCAATAAAAATAATAAAATAAATCTTTTTAAGATTTCTTTTTTTTAAGATTTATTTTATTATTTTTAATGGACAGTCAAATATAAAGAGAAAAGGAGAGTCAGAAAGGAAGATCTTCCATCCGCTGATTCACTCCCCAAGCAGCCACAATGACTGGAGCTAACTGATCTGAAGCCAGAAGCCGAGAGCCTCTTCCCGGTCTGCCACATGGGTGCAGGGTTGGAAGACTTTGGGTTGTCCTCAACTGCTTTCCCAGGCCACAGGCAGGGCACTGGATGAGAAGTGGGGCTGCCAGGATGAGAACCATTGCCTATATGGGATCCTGGTACATGCAAGGCGAGGACGTAGCTGCTAGGCTACCATGCCATACCCTTGAAGTCATTTTTATATCCTTTCTGAGTTCGTATATACTTCACTACAGCTGTTAGTTTTTTTAAAATAACTGTTGTGTTTTTTTTTTAAAGGTATTTTGTGTATTGACAGCTTTGATATTTTGGGTGATGGTGTTAAAGATTTACTTGTTGGAAGAGATGATGGAATGGTGGAAGTCTATAGTTTTGATAATGCAAATGAACCTATTCTAAGATTCGATCAGGTAGGTTCATTATACTTCATATGATTATAATTCAAATTATCATGGAGATGATTGATCGTTTGAATTATATGAAATGAAAGTATGTTAAAATCTAGCTTTTGGTTTAAGTATAATTATTTTGATGTTATAAAAACCTCTAGTATTTGAGTAATTGACTGTTGTCTTCAAGCCAAATAATAAGTTACTGCTTCATGACACTTAGAAATTATTTTAAAGCTCAAAAGCATTATACATTTTACCTTACTTTCTTATGTTTCAACACTTAATAAGAATAAATTTTGTATGTTTTGGTAACATAAATAAGTGTTTATTTAAAATGAAGCTTAGGAATGAACATATGGACAATGTAAGAAGTAACCTTAAAGATGGAAAAGTAGCAGTGTACTCTAGCCACTGAAAAAGGCCGACTGTGTAAAAAATTCTGAATAGAGGTACATTTAATTCACAGATTTTAATGTAATTAAACTCATTTATGCTAGGCTATAAAGATTCAAGGGAAGCGTTCTAATGTAAATGTAATCTTTCATTTTCATGAGCAGTATTCTTCAAACTAGGGCTTCCCCATCTTGTCTCATGCAGGATCCTTTGAGACTTGTTTTTTGGAAAACAGAGTGAGGGAAATTCAGGGACAGGTAATGGGTGTAAGATAAGATACTATTTGAGAGGCATGCTCTCATATTGGAATATCTGATTTTGAGTCCTGGCTCCACTTCTGATTCCAGCTGTCTGCCAAGTTGTTCCCTGAAAGGTTATAGCAATGAGTCAATTAACTGTGTTCCTGTCACCCATATTGAAGACCTAAACTAAGTTCTGGGGTCCTGGCCTCAGCCTGTCCCAGCCCTGGCTATGGTAGGCTTGGGGAATAAACCAACAGGTAGAAAATCTCTCTGTCTCCATCTCTGTCTGTCTGTCTCTCTCTGCCTTTTAAAGAAATAAAGATTAATACATAAAATAGTTTTTAAAAAGAAAATGCAATTAAAACGTAAGTTCTTTGAAAAAAAAGACCACAAAATAAATAAGACAGTATAGGGATAAAAATGTTACACAGTTTATTTTATAGGTTGATTTCAAATTTGTTAGTCGTTGCTATAAAAAGTCATCCTGCTAAGAATGTAAATAATAATTTAGGATTAAATAAATAAATTTATTTTATTTTATTTTGCTTTTTTGACTTGGGGAGGGGAAGGGCTGGAGGCCCAGGGCAGAACAATTCCCTGCTCCCCCTCCCATGGGCGGATGAGGGGGTGTAGAGGAAGAAGAGAAGGAGGAGGAGTAGGAGGAGCAGGAAGGGGGACAGACACCCCGGGGCAGCCGAGGTGGGCCAGGGCGCAGGCTGTGGCTGCCCCTGGCGGCTTCCTCTGCTGGTCTGAGCTAGGCTTAGAATTTATAATAATCCTTTGTTGATGTCTGCTGATTTTTCTTAGTACCATGGAGAAATTTTTATGTTAGACCTCAGGTCTCTTTATGATTTCTATTCCAAATGCCAGCAATGAAATAACACTCTGCCGAGTTTCACATTAAGAAATCCTATCTTTTCACTCTTATTTTTTTAATGGCGAAGATACTGCTTTCAGCTTATTCCTAGGCTTCAGATATGCTGCCTTTATCTTGAATATGTTTTCCTTATCAGAAAACCTCTTATCTCACAGTCTGACTTGGTAGCTGGTTGGATTATCAGAAAGTTAAAGTGAGAATCATAAAAAGAAAAACATACATTCCTTAAACATTGTATTTTAACTTAGGCATAAGCAGTTTGCCATTTACCTTTGTGAACTCCGCATCTGTGTAGTCAACAGACTGGATCATAAATACTGAAAAGAAAAATTGAAGTGTATTGAACATAGATACTTTTCTCGCTAGTCCCTCAACAATAAATAAGGTGTAACAACTATTTACAAATGATTATATTTTATTCGGTATTATAAATAATTAGAGATAATTTAAAGCATGTAGAAGAATATGTGAACGTCATATGCAAATATTATGGCATTTTATACATACCTGAACATCGCAGGATCCTCACGTGATCCTGGTGCCTGTCTCCTGATGAGAAAAAGGGATACTATCCATTCCTTTGCCAATGTCTTGAGGACTATGCAAGGTCTTTGTTTTTGTCAGTTTGTTCACCTTGAGTGTCACTCCATATTTCTTCTTATTTAAACTTACCCATACTATATTTTAAAAGATTTTTAACAATAATTATACATATGTATGGGCTGCAGCGTCACATTTAAATACCTGTATACAATGTGTATTGATCAAAATGAAATAATCAGCATTTCCTTTTCTTTGCTGTTATTATGTCATTAAAGAGTTGGAACTTCTATTTGCTCATACATTATACATTAAGTTATAGCGAGCTGTAGTCTCCCCTATTATGCTATGTAATAGTGAGAATTTACTTTTTGTTTGATCTGTTTTGTTAGAATTGCGTCTAACTCTGACTTGGTACACATTATCTGTCGTGCCTAAGATTCTCTGCTTGCTTGCTTGCTTCATTTATTTATTTACAATATCTATTTGAAAGGCAGAGAGACAAAGAGAAAAATAGAAAAAACTAGCCACTGGCTCCTTTTCCATATGCTTGCAGCAGCTAGGGCTGAGTCAGGACAAAACAAATGAGTGCAGAACTCAAACTGAGTTTCCCAGGAGTGATAGGATCCAGGTTACTGAGATATTCCTGGTACCTCCAAGGATGTACATTAGCAGGAAGCTGGAACTGAAGGCAGGGCTGAGACTTGAAAACAGGTATTCCATAATGAAATGTGGACATTCTGAAACACATCTTAACTGCTGTGCCAAACACCTGCCCCCAGGCTTGTGTTTTCATGATTACATGAGGATACTTCAAAAAGTTCATGGAAAAATAGAATTAAAAGGGGAGTTTTCTCACAAAAATGAACTTTAAAAACCACTTTCTATGAATTCTTAAAACAGTATTTATTTAAAAGACAGGTGCAGAGAGGAAGAGACAGAGATGGAGACAGAAAGAGGCCACAAGAGTGAGGTTTGAGCCAGACTAAGGCCTGGGGTTAGGAACTCCTTCCTGATCTTCCACTTGGCAGAGGCAATCATCTGCTACCTTCTAGGCACACTAGCAGGAATCTGGACCGAAAGTGGAGCTGTTGGGACTCTAACCAGTACTCTGAAATGCTGGTGTCACAAGTGACAGCTTAACCCTTTGTGCTGATGCTGGCCCCTGTCTGTGAACTCTTTGAAGGGCTACATATAACTTTTTTAAATGAGTTGAGTTAGCTAAAGCTGAAGCTCCAAAGCTTTTTAGTAATTGTGTTTAAAGCACAGGAGATAGATGTTTTTCATTAAAATGTTTAACTTATAAATATATCTGAGTATATTAAAGATGATGCTTTTAGGTGAAATAGTACAAACTATACTCAGTGGTCACTTAATTAACCACTGAAAGTGAAAATATGCATGATTAATGGGCAAAGTATCCTTTTAAAATTCAATTAATTTGCAATTAGTTGATTTCAGTAAATTTAAGAAGGGCCTAATTATGTTGTTATCACTAAAACTGCTTTTGATAGTTGGTGATACTATGTCCATCACTTGGAAGATTTTTAGACAATCTAGTTAACTTATGTAACAAAGGTTCTTCTGTAGAATGATGGATTTGTGACTGTTGTTGAAAGACTATAGTATTGTTATAATGTAGGGGAAAGCAGAGGGGGAGTAAGGGCATGGAGAGGGTGGAAGGGGAAATTCCTGAGCCTAAGGAATTGTATCAGGGAAAAAAAAATCATATGTTAAAAAACAAACTCCACAAAAATTGTATTCCTTTCAAAATATTTATATGACTGTAGTTAATCGGTGCTTACGTTTGTAAGAAGAAAAATTATGTTGAACCCAACTTTGTTCTAACACTATGTACAATTAATTTTGTAAGACCTAACTAATTCCAAAGGAAATGGAAAGTCCCATTTATATCATTAGACATGTTTCCTGTGGAACTTTACCTTTGTGATTATTATTTACTAAAGTTTATCTCAGACATTCATATATTGCTAACTATATTTACAACAATTTTTCATACATAAAACTTTATAATTATAAGATAATTTATATATTTTTGGTTATAGAGAAATATGTAAAAAATACAGAAGAATTTCATGCATATGAGTATTTTATATTAAGATAAAAGTATCTCAGAAAGGTGAGGTGAAAATAAAAGTTCAAGGAGAGAAAAGTAGCCGTGTAAAATTTCCAACTTACAACAAAAGATTATTTTTTTCTTCACTTTTTAAGTGAATCATTTGTGTGTGTGTGTATCTGTGTGTGTTTGTTCTGCTATTTAGATTCTCTAGGTATGATTAAAAGATATTATAATTTTATTTAAAAATATTGCTTACAACTTCCAGAAACTATTCCTTGTAGCTATTTAAAGTAGGGATGAAAAGTACCGACATCTAAAATATATAAGGTAAAGTTTTGTTCAGAATTACTTGTGGAAACATGAACAAAAGATTTTTTTGAAGATTTCTTGTGTTTATGAAGTAACCAGGATACTTATTAAAAATGAGCTTTTTGCAAATTATAATAAAATCTTTGCTACTTGAGCCTCTGGGAAGTAGCCTCAGGAAGAGTTATAATAGCCTTTTTTGCAGGATAGCTTAGAGGTATAGACTAGCTAACATTTTGTTGATTGGTTTGATGTTTCTGTGCATTCCCTCTGTTGCCCCGTTTGAAAATGTTTCTCATTCCTTCCAGCTAAGCATTACCTACCCGAGTTTGCTTTCTGGTAGTCAAAACTTAATAAGGTGTTGTTAATGCATTTCTTTAAAATTTAATAGAATTGATTGTAACATATCAGAGTGTAATACTGCCTTATAAGTTATATTTTGTTACTATTTGAACATAAAGCAGGTTGTCCTATAGTTTATTGCTTGCTTTCCAAAAAATTTAAAAGTTGGTTACCTAGAATGTATGTTAAAAAAGATGTTACTAGTTGATTTACATAAAACATGTTTGGGAACGATAGCTTGAAAGATGGTATTGTAAACATTGAACCATCTGAAAATCATAGATTTTCTTAAAAGTAGCAAATTCTTAAAGGTTCCTTTTAGGTTGTGATTATGCACCTAAAACAGTATCTGGAGAGTACACATGAGAGATGGTCTGTGGAGTTCAGATAATAGACAAAAATTACCGGCAATTTTACTTATAGTTTTTAAAAATTTCTATTTATTTATTTTTATTGGAAAGTCAGATATACAGAGAGGAGGAGAGACAGAGAGGAAGGTCTTCTGTTCTTTGACTCACTCTGCAAGCAGCCACAACAGCCAGAGCTGTACTGATCTGAAGCCAGGAGCCTCCTCTGGGTCCTCCATGTAGGTGCAGGGTCCTAAGGTTTTGGGCCATCCTCCACTGCTTTCGCAGGCCACAGGCAGGGAGCTGGATGGGGAGTGGGGTTGCCAGGATTAGAACTGGCACCCATATGGGGTCCCGGTGCATGCAAGGTGAAGACTTTAGTTGCTAGGTTACCATGCCAGGCCTGCTTGCAATTTTTTTTTTAAGATTTATTTTATTTTAATTACAAAGTCAGATATACAGAGAGGAGGAGAGATAGAGAGGAAGTGGAGCTGCCGGGATTAGAACCGGTGACCATATGGGATCCCGGTGCATTCAAGGTGAGGCCCTTAGCCACTAGGCCACGCCGCCAGGCCCCCGCTTACAATTTTTTAAAGTATGTGTAAGTCAACTATTTTTGCTAATTAAGCTTTAAAAAAAACAATGTTTATTTGTAAGGCAGACAGAGAAAGAGAGAGACAGAGAAATGTTTAATCTCTTGGTTCACTCCCAAAATGACCAAACTGATCGGAGGTGGGCCAAGCTTAAGCCAAAAGCCAATAGTTTATTCTAGGTCTGTACGGGAACAAGAAGTACCGTTTTCTGCCCCATTCCCAGATTAATTAGCAGAGAGCTTTGTGGGATGCTGACAGCATAGGCAGGGGCTTTCATCACTGTGCCATAACCCTGGCTCCTTCTTGGATGATGAAACTAACCGGTACACATATACTAGTCATTTTTAATCATCTTTCTCAAAAGAGGAAATGTAATTTTGTTGCATTTGTTAAAGATCTTTGTCTTTCTGATCTCAGAGTCTGCATATAATAAATATAAAACAAGAGACAAAGGATAAATTTTGTAGCTTACTTTACTGTGAAGTGTCTAAGCATTAATGAAATGGTTGGTCTTGAATTTATTCCAGATGTTTTCTGAAAGTGTCACATCTATCCAAGGCGGTTGTGTAGGGAAAGATGGTTATGATGAAATCGTGGTATCTACATATTCAGGTAAAATAGACGATAACTGTTGAAGAAAATAGCAATAACAAAAATAATTTGGCTGATTGCTTTTAATCAATTAAAATTTTATAAAGTAAAAAAAAATTATGGATTTATTTTTATTTTTTGTTGGAAAGTCAGATATACAGAGAGAAGGAGATACAAAGAGAAAGATCTTCGTTCTGATGGTTCACTCCCTAAGTGGCGGTAATGCCTGGAGCTGAAGCTAGAAGCTTCTTCCATGTCTCCCATGTGGGTACAGGGTCTCAAGGCTTTGGACCATCCTCTACTGCTTTCCCAGGCCACAAGCAGGGAACTGGATGGGAAGTGGAGCAGTGGAAAATGAACTGGTGCCAATATGAGATCCCAGTTGATGCAAAGGGAGAATATAGTATCACATTTGGCCCTAAAAAGTTTTTATTAGTAAGTCACTGGTAATCAATCACATAAGAAACTTCATTGGTTAGAAAATAGGAAAAAGGAGTAGGTTTTTTTTTTAATTTATGAAATAGTTAATATTTGAATAATGCTTTTTAAGAGTGCTTATCATGTCTCAGTACCATTGATATCTTTTGCTTTAAAGAGAAGAGTTTACTGAAATTGATAATAACCAATTAGAATTTAACTATGAGCTGGCTATTTTTGCATTCTCACAATACTCATTTCAGAGTTTTTATTTCCATGAAAGTAATTTTTCAAAGATAACTCTTTTCTTTTTCCTTTTGATTGACAAGAGATAACTGTCCCCAAATGTCTGCAACATCCCTATCTGGGTCGGGCTTGACCTAGGAGCAGGCATCATAATCCAGGTGAGGTTGGCAGGAATCAGTTACTTGATTGATCCCCGTCGCCTATCAGGGCTTACACTGGCAGAAAGATGGAATTAGGAGCCTGAACTGGAAATTGAACCCATAACCTCCAGTGTAGAATGTGAGCATCTTAACCCATACGCTGTATGCTCATTGCTGGCAATTCTTATTTGTTGGCTTTTTTTGAACTTGCTGGAATGTGTTAACTTTATCATACTTGGAAAAATAATTTAGGGACCAGCACTGTGGTGTAGTGGCTGCCTGCGAAGCCAGCATCCAAGATGGTCTTCTGTTCCAAGTCCTGGCTGCATCATTTCTGATCCTGCTTCCTGCTAAAGTATCTGGGAAGGCAGTGGAGAATGGCCCAATGCGTGTGCCTCTTCCCTCATTCAAGAGACCCAGAGGAAGCTCCTTGCTCCTGGCTGCAGTCCTGCCCAGGGCCAGCTGAGGTATCCACTGACCGAGTGAGCCAGTTAATGGAAGATCTCTTTCTTTAGTTCTTCTGTATTTCTCTGACTTTGACTTTCAAATAAATAAATAAATCATACAACATTTAAAATAAGTATTACAGTATTTAGAACAAAGAAAATAGCAACCCAAAATAGTTAGTCATGTCTTTAGGTTTGAATATTTTTCAGCTTTGATTATCTGAATAGTTCTAGGGCTAAACAGGTTGCTGTTAGTGGACAAAATGGTATATGTATTGGTATTTCTGCTATACAAAGTATAATACCTTTTTTTTTAACACTAGAACCACTAAACAATGCATGATTGTGATTCGTCTCTACAGGCTGGATTACAGGTCTGACAACAGAACCCATTCAGAAGGAAAGTGGACCAGGAGAAGAAGTAAAAATTAATCAGGAGATGCAGAATAAAATTTCTTCTTTACGGTAGTTTGCTTTTTAGATTTCATCTCATTAATTATATGGTTATTGCTTTTTATTATTTATATGTACCATATTTTATTGGAAGAAATGATAATCACTTTTTTTTTTAAGATTTATTTTTTATTTTTATTGGAAAGGCAGATACACAGAGAGGAGAGACAGAGAGGAAGATCTTCCATCCGATGATTCACTCCCCAAGTGAGCACAACGGCCGATGCTATGCTGATCCGAAGCCAGGAGCCTCTTCCGGGTCTCCCAAGCGGGTGCAGGGTCCCAAAGCCTTGGGCCGTCTTCGACTGCTTTCCTGGGCCACAGGCAGGGAGCTGGATGGGAAGCGGGGCTGCCGGGATTAGAACCGGGCGTGCAAGGCGAGGACCTTAACCATTGCGCCACTGCGCCGGGTCCAATAATCACTTTTTAAAAATAAATAAGTAAATGATAATCACTTTCTTTTTTTTAATGTTCATGACCAAGGTGAGGCGATTGCAGACCCATGTGGGTAATAATCACTTTCTAAGGTGAGTGTTTTTGGCTGGCTTGTGGTGAAGTGAGTTAAGCCACTGCCTAGAACACTGACATTTCATTTAGGTGCCATTTTGGGTACTGGCTGCTGCACTTCCATTCCAGCTCCCTGGTAACAAGTCTGGGAATGCAGTGGAAGATGGCCCAAGTCCTTGGGCCTCTGTACCCATGTGGGAGACTGAAATGGAATTTTGGGCTTCTGACTTTGGCGTAGCCCTGAGCACTGCAGCCTCTTTGGGAGTGAACCAGCAGATGGAAAAATATCTATCTTGCTTTCTCTGTTTCTCTGTCCTTGTGTTCTCCACCCACCTCCCATGTGACTTTGCCTTTTTTGAATAAATGAAGTCTTTAAAAACAAAGTGAATATTTATGGACTTGAAAAGACTAGTATTAATATTTTGGTATCATAATACTTTTTTCTGTATCTGTAGTGACTTTCTTTGATCAAGAATTGTATTTTTCATTTATTTAGCTATAAACAGTTATAGTATTGTTTTTTGCAAAGATTAGAGAAAAGGAAATACAGATAACTATTTTCTCATTAGCTCTTGTTCTCTGTTCCTGTGGGCCCTTCTGGATTTAAAATTTTTTAAAATTTGTTTTCTTACTGGAACTGAGTAATGTTGGGTCTTAGCTGCTCAACCTGACATACCCTATGAAAAAGTATCTGACTTACTAGAACTTTCAATTATGGCTTTCTCTCCTTCATCCCTTGCTAAACCTCCTAGGTCAATGAGGGCTGATTTTTTTCTTTTTTTGGTGATAATTGAAAACCACAAAAACTTTTCAGGTAACAAATTGTTTAAGTACTACTAGTACAAGCCATTTCACCAATGCCACTGAGAAAGCAAACTCTAAATGTGCATGCAAATAAGTGCAATAAATTTTTTTCAAGATATTCAGATTCTTGCAGCCAGGATAATGATGAGTTAGTGATTGGTTTCCTACATCCCCAGTATAATGCCTTTTCTTTGTAACCAAATCTGCCCCATCCAGATTCCACTACAATGTAACTCTATTACGAACTTCTAATTTATTCGCTCAGCCCCTGAAATAGTGTTAGATACACAGGAATAAATACATAATATTTAGCAGTAAGAATTAATTGAGTGGATAAATCTTCTGTGTTTATTGCACATATTCCCCCTAAGCCCCTTTCTATTCTTTTTATCCTAGATTGGGGCAGGCTAAGCTAAGGCTCATGTTATTCTGTTGTTTACTTCAATTATATGTGAAATTTCCCTTTAGCTTGAACTACACTAGGCAATGCCTGTGCAGTCAGTCTCAGAATACTCTTTTTTTTCTTTTTCTTTCATGATATGGTTCCAAGCACAGGGATTCTTCTCTCCACTGCCCCATGTCCCACCTATTTACAGTACTGAAGTCCTTCAACAACAGTTACAAGTCCAGCATTCTGTTATTTAATGTTTCATGGCATTGAATGTATAGGAAATAGTAGATAGTCTAGAATCCCAATATCAAGATATATGTAACAGTTTCATTGGAGATCTATCTTTTATTCAGGAGTAGAGATGCACACTGCAATGTATCTTCACTTCCCTGGTATGCTGGTATCTTTTACAGTTCATCTGTGAGGATATATTTTTATATATGTTTGCCTATGTATCTGTCTGGTATTTTGCATGGACGTTGCCGTATATCAGAGAGAACATGTGACATTTGTCCTTTTGGGATTGGCTTATATCACTGAGCATATTGTTCTTTAGCTGGGGCCATTTTTTTGCAAATTGTAGAATTTCATTCTTTTCGATGGCTGAGTAGTATCCATGGAGTAGATGTACCCCAGTTTCTTTATCCATTTCTCTTTTGATCACATCTGGGTTGTTTCCATTATTTCACTGTTATGAATTGTGCTGCTATAGGGTTGCAGGTCACTTTTTCATGTGCAGATTTCACTTCCTTTGTATATATTCCTAGGAGTGGGATAGCTGGGTCATATGGTAGATCCATTTTCAGTTGTCTGAGCACTCTCCATGCTGACTTCCATAGTGGTTACACTAGCCTGCACTCCCATCAACAGTGGAGGAGGATATCTTTCTCCCTACATCCATGCTAACATGTGTTAGTAGATTTCTGAATGTAGACTGATCTCACTGGAGTTAGGTGAAACCACAACATGATTTTTATTTGTATTTGCCTAACAGCTAGGGAGCCTGCGCTCACAATCCTTTTTCAACTCTTAATAGATCTTGGGCCTCTGACTCATGACCCTGCTTATGGTCCCAAATTGTTAATGCTCTGCAGCTTCTTTATTCTGCCTCTTCCCCTCCTGTTGCACATGCTTACTGACTTCATGTTTTGTTTCCTCTTATATGTTCTTCAGCTGTCTTATTTTTCTATTTTGACTAGTGTAGCTTGTCCTCTACGACCAGATTCATATCTTGTAAATGATTATTTGCATCCTACCTTGATACAACTCTGTTAATTTTTTTGATCTGGGAACGAGAGGGTGTTTTAGCTTTTGAGTTGGAGATAAATAATGTGACATTGTTTAGTCAGTGATAGGAGCAAAAATTTTGCTCTTACTGGTGTTACAATGTTAACCACTTATAAAGACAAATTTTGCTAAAGTGAGTGTCTCAAATTTATGTAGACATTATGAAGATCTGAAATATTTTTGTATTTATAGATGACAAGGTTGTATTTGTGTTCTTATAGGAGTGAATTGGAACATCTTCAGTGTAAAGTATTGCAGGAAAGAGAGAACTATCAGAAGTCTTCTCAATCAAGCAAAGCAAAATCAGCAGTACCTTCGTTTAGTATAAATGACAAATTTACATTAAATAAAGATGATGCCAGCTATAGCCTTGTTTTAGAGGTACAGACCGCAATAGATAATGTCTTAATACAGGTAATCAAAATATCTGATTTCTTGGCTTTATGATTAGAGCTATTTTGTAAACCAGTCACACACTAACTATTTTTGAACATTTTTAGTTTTACACAGTAATATTAAAAATTAAGGCTGGTTAATCTTTCATTGGGTGGTCAGTTTGCATGATAGATATTTGAATTTTATCTTTTAAATTTATTGTATACTTAATAAACAAAAGGTGAGTAGACATAAGGTCATGATACAAAGGGGAAAAGATCTAAAAGGTAATAGAAGTTTTCTACTTTGGCCTCCCTCTGAGAGAATCTTAATAGAAGCATAACTTAGAAAACTTCAATATTTAATATCTTTACTAGAACTTTACTGGCATTAACATGACAGGTGATAGTACAGCTTACTCATTAATTCAGTAACTTCTAGATAGGTCAGTAGGCAAAATAGATCACCTCAAAGGGTGAAATTAGTAGAAATAATCATGTGTAATTCCATTATCAATATATGAATATAAATTTGCAAATATTGGGGAAATACAAAATGATGGTAGTAAAATGAAAATAAAATGGAAAACATATCAGAAAATGAAAAACTATAACTTGGAGGAAGAAGATAAGGTTTCAGAAATGTGGTGGGCAGATCATATTATTAGTTAAAATTTGAAGGCAGAAAATTCTTAATGGTGGTATAAGTTCATGGGCTGCTACATTGAACAACTCTGGGAACATCATTTATACAGAACATGATGCATCAAGTTTCTCCTAAAAACATCTTCCTAAGGCAAGACCAAAGATTATTTTCTGTCCATGTTGCAGGTAAAGTTAAAATTGATTAAAAGGAATTGATAGAATAGCCATTATTTACAGCCACTGGTATCTTTTTGGTACTGAAAAAATAGGAAGCTTATGCTTTTAAAGGGGATGGAAAGAAAAAGATATTCTATGACTTCCACTAATTCTACTTAGAAAAAAATAGACGATTATAATATTTTTTATTAAGTTTACTTGCTGGAAGTATATACTGCCAAGTATGAGTAAGAAAACAGATACTTTCAGATTCCAAGATGAACATGAAATAGAACTAAGGAGAGCTAGTAGAGAAAACACATTTTACAAACACTTTCAGGTTTTCTCTCTGAACTTTTTTTTTTTTTTTTTGGCTATAGAGTGATGTTCCAATTGATTTACTTGATGTGGATAAAAATTCTGCAGTTGTTAGCTTTAGTAGCTGTGATTCTGAGGTGAGTAAAAATATGAAAAATCCTCATGTTTTTATTTCTGTTATACTGTTTAAAGTGCATAAATGCTACAGGGGTTTAATTTTTTTTTTCTATAATCTTACCTTTCATAGAATTTCCCTCAAAGTTGGCTTTACTTTTCTTTCCCTGTCCTCAAATAATTCAGAAATTTGGATTCTGTCCTGCATGTCTTCTTTTTGTGGTCTGTTATGTCCAGTGAGTTACTACTTTATGTCAGTTCTATATCCTTGACTCATTCCCCGTTTGGGCTTCATTCATGTTCTGTTGACCAGTCCTTGCCCTCCTTTTGTCTTGCTGGAACTGTTGACTCTGTCAGTTTTTCTTCAGCCAAGCTTCTCTACCAGAGGGATTTTCTCTATCAGTTTTTCTTCACTGTAATCTAACTACTTGAGAACAGAGACTTTATAAAGAAAAGAAATTTATTTTGGCTCCAGATGCAAAATGTTCACAGTGTAAGAATAGGTGGGTCTCCTTGGTTCAACTCGAGCAATGGTACTGTTGTTGGCAGAATCCTGGTTTGGCACAGGGCATCACGTGATGAGAAACTTGGGTGCTTCTCTGTGTCTGGGTGGTATTTATTATAATCACCAGAATTCACTCTATGGGTAACCTAATCCTATATAGTCACTTGCTAATTCTATGTCTTTAATGAGCTTTTACCCTCTTAGTGCCATTGGCATAAAACTTTGGTAACTGAACTCCTGAGTTTGGTTGAGGGACATAGTATCTATCTAAACAGAAAATGTCACTGTATCATGTCTTTAAAACCTTTCATATATTCCTTATTTTCTGTTGGAAGTTAGTCTAGATTCCTCATTCTGGCATATAAAAAATTTCGTGATTCACCTCTCCAAATTCTCTCTTACCAACTGCTACCTCCTTTCTTAAGCACGTTATTTCTGTCCAACTGAAGTTCCTAAAATTTCTTGAAAATGCTATGGCATTCATACTTTATTGCATTTGAAAATGCTCTATTCCTTCACTCTTGCTTCTAGGTTTTTCCTGGTTTGGGGGAACTCAATGAATACTTTCTTAACCTTCAACCAGTAGATACTTATTGAGTCCTTTATAGGTGTAGAATGCCTGTGATGAGATCATGTCAGTGCTTTTGAACAGGCTTACTGTATTATTTCTCTTAGTACTAGTAGACTCAAAGGTAGATGTGCCTCATGAAGAGATGGGAAGGTAAAATTAAGGTCTTGGATTAGCTGCACTGGAGAAGGCAAGCCAGAAAAGGAGGAGATGGAGGACTGCAGTCCTCATTCTCTTTTGATCTGTAGCATTTTACCCAGAAATAATTCAGTGCATTTGTTTTTAATCACATTATAATGTCCTTACTTTAACACTGATTAATACTATTTATGAGTTAAAAAATTGAAATTAAAATATTTGAGTTTCTGCTTTCAAATTAGCATCCTTATTATTTCTTTGGTTACTCGCTAAAGACAAGGTTCAAAAGTGCAGAGAAAATGAAACTAGACTATTTTTATTTGCAGGGTGGAAGCAAATATTTAGCTAACAATGTCTTCAAGAAGTTCATGGAAGGCGCATATTGGGGAGAATTACCTAACCCCCAGAGCTTCTGTGTTTTCATCTGTTAAAACTTAGTAAAATACAGTACCTAGTGTTGTTTGTAGCAATAAATGAGGACATGTGGGAAGCTCACGTAGCACAGATAATAAGTTACTCAAGCAAATGGTAATTATTGTTATTGAAAGAGATGTTTCTCTTGCTGTAAACATAAGTTCATCTTGTCTTGAACTTTGAATTCTTCCTAGTCAAACGACAACTTTCTGCTTGCTACTTATCGGTGCCAGGCAAATACCACAAGGCTGGAGCTCAAGGTAAGAAATGTTAGAAATTATCTTCACTTGCATGTGTAAACATTATTTTTTTCCCTTTATGTATCTTACAACAGCATTATGTAAATTATTCGCATTGAATTTCCCCTTGAAATGTGTCATTTTGGAGTCTTGACTGCAAATGGCCAGGTAGATCTTAATGCAGTCAAATCACTATCTCTGCTCTTTTATTTTTAAAGATTTACTTATTTTTATTGCAAAGTCAGATATATATATAGATTGGAGGAGAGACAGAAAAGAAGATCTTCTGTCCAGTGTTTTACTCCCCAAGTGACTGCAGTGGCCGGAGCTGCACCAATCTGAAGCCAGGAGCTAGGAGCTCTTCTGGGTCAACTGGATGGGAAGCAGGTCTTCTGGGATTAGAACTGGTGCCCTTATGGGATCCTGGTGCATTCAAGATGGGAACTTCAGCTGCTAGGCGTGAGGGAGTTCCAGGTGATGATTCAACCGCTGAGCCAGGTGCACACCCCTGACTTCTGTGTTCACATTTTGATCCAATCAGGGTCCCAGAAAACTAATTTAATTATTGACATTATTCTGGATATTTCCTCCATATTTTCTTGCTGCTGGATTTTGCTCATTCCATTCCAATAACATCACTTATTGCTATTTATCCCAGAGAAAATTTCCTAAAGTTTTCTTTAGCTATTTAGGAAGATGATCATTTTTACAACAGAATATTCAGCTTAGCATATTAATCTAGTTATGTTTGGAGATTTTATTTTTTAAAGATTTATTTTTATTATTTTTTTATTGGAAAGGCAGATATACAGAGAAGAGAGACAGAGAGGAAGATCTTCCATCCGATGATTCACTCCCCAAGTGAGCGCAACGGGCCGATACTATGCCGATCCGAAGCCAGGAGCCTCTTCCGGGTCTCCCACGCGGGTGCAGGGTCCCAAAGCCTTGGGCCGTCCTCGACTGCTTTCCCAGGCCACAGGCAGGGAGCTGGATGGGAAGCGGGGCTGCCGGGATAGAACCGGCGTCCATATGGGATCCTGGGCATGCAAGGCGAGGACCTTAACCACTGCGCCACCGCGCCGGGCCCGAGATTTTTTTTTTTTAAAGATTTAATTATTTATTGGAAAGTCAGATATACAGAGAGGAGGAGAGACAGAGAGGAAGATCTTCCCTCTGATGATTCACTCCCCAAGTGAGCGCAATGGCCAATGCTATGCCGATCTGAAGCCAGGAGCCAGGAACTTCTTCTGGGTCTCCCACAAGGGTGCAGGGTCCCAAAGCCTTGGGCCATCCTCAACAACTTTCCAAGGCCACAGGGAGTGAGCTGGATGGGAAGTGGAGCTGCTGGGATTAGAACCGGCACCCATATGGGATCCCGGGCGTGTTCAAGGCGAGGACTTTAACTGCTAGGCCACGCTGCAGTACCTGTTTTGAGATTTTTAAAAAAATTTTTATATACTTACAATCAGTACCTTTTTTCTTGGTGCTAATTATATTGTCAAACTGAAGGTCTTCTTTTTTCAAGAGATGCTGCTGGATCTGGCACAGTGAGCTGGTGGCTGAATCCTCGCCTTGCATCTGCTAGCATTCCATATGAGTGCTGGTTCATGTCCCAGCTGCCCTGCTTCCCTTCCAGCTCCATGTTTGTGGACTGGGAAAGCAGTGGACGATGGCCCAAGGCCTTGGGATAGCGAGGGAGACCTGGAAGAACTCCTGGCTCCTGGTTTCAGATCAGCTTAGCTCCAGCCATTGCAGCCACTTGGGGAGTGAATCATCAGATGGAAGATCTTCCTCTCTGTCTCTCCTTCTCTCAGTAAAACTGACTTTCCAATAAAAATAAATAAATCTTAGGAAAAAAAAGAGAGATGCTGCTATGTATTTTTTTACATCTAATTAAGGAAGGGTCTCATTAAATGCATTTTTCCTCTAAATAGTTCAATTTATTGTACATTGCTTCTTTTAAGCATTTTGAAAACAAAAATTGAGAACCAAGATAATGTTGATTTCTGAAAGAATACACTTGAGCCGAAAAAAAAAAAAGACCAGAATGAGAACAAATTTAGAGCAAGTTTTTTTTTTTTTTGAACTGACAGGTACATGAATTAAAAATTTTAATTTTAAAATTCTGAAGAAAAAAATTAATGTCTAAAAAGTGTCAAGAAAAAGCGAAGTAGAACGTTTCATAAAATCTGTTGTGAAACCACCATGAGAAAGATTGGAGGTTATTTTTAAGCCTAAATGAATGTTCTATGTAATAGAAGATCATGTATAAATAGAGTTTTGCACACACTTATGGAAACTTAACGTATAATGTTTCTACTTAGAGGGAAATCATATTACATTTCTATTTCTTCTTAAAAATTGGTGTTGAATTTATCTGGAAGCAAATTCAGTAATTCTTATGTCATTTTGAAATAAATTGAGATTATCTAGTTATTTAAAAGTGTAATTATCCTCTCAAGAATAGTTTATAATAAAATGTTAAGGCAGCCTATGATATGCTATTGAAAATACCAATGAAAAAGAAAATAAGTAAAGGATGTGGTAGTGAATCACGGAAGAGGGACTCCAAATAGGTAACAAAGATTTTTACCCCATTATTACAGAAATCTAAATTAAAACAACAAAATAAGTTTCTGCCTATCTGATTAGTTAGTAAAAAAATGTTAAGAAAGAACATTACTGTGTGACAGGGCTGAGTAAAAGGACTGTCTCCACCATGGCTGATGGAAAAATAAAGTTTATAGCCATTTTGGGAAACAGATAAATAATCAGCTTCATTTGGGGAATCTACTTAAGATTTAAAAAATTAGAGAAATATACAATGCAGATATTGTATATAACTAATTTCATTGTGTAGAAGTAGAAGCAAAATGAATATTCTCACTAATTAAATGGTTGAATAAATGACTGTTTATCCATATCATTGAATAGTATGCTATTAAGAATGAGTAGATTTTCATCCAGTACCATGAATGGATCTCCAGAAGAAAAATGGATATAAAATCCCTATATGTTTAGATACATTTTTTTTCTTTTTAAAAAATTGTTTGCATTTTTTAATGTATAATTATTTTCCATGATAGTGTATTGTGTGTATAGGAATTCCCCCTCCACATCCGCCTCCTCCCTTCCCATTCTTCCCCACCACCACCATTTTCCCCCACATTATTATAGTAATATAGTCCTTTAGCAATAGTCACAAATCCAACATTCTGCTGTTTAAGTGTATCATGGCATTGTAAGTATTGGCAATGGTGAAAAATCTAGTATCATATTGTCAAAATATATTTAACATTTTCATTGGGAATTCCCTTTTCATTCAGTAGAGTTGTATACCACAATGTATCTTTACTTCCTGCTAAGATAGTCTAGCTAGTCTCCATTATACAGTTTGTTCACAGGAATATATATGTATATATATACCTATATATCTCTTTGTTTTTATTTGCATGTATGTTCCCCAATATCATAGAGAACATGTGATATTTGTTCTTTTGGGATTGGCTTATTTCACTGAATATAATGGTCTCCAGTTGGGGCTATTGGGTTGCAAATTGTAGAATTTTATTCTTTTTTAATGACTGAGTAGCACTCCATGGAATAGATGTACCTCAATTGCTTTATCCATTGCTGTTTGGACAGACATATGGGTTGCTTCCATGTCATTGCTAATGCTCAAGATCCTTGGCTATTAGGGGAACACTAATAAAAACCACATTGAGGCTCTATATGGGAACCCAGCGCATGCAAGGTGGATGTAGCCACTAAGCAGTTGCACCAGGCCCTGTTATTTATTTTAGCTTTTTCTTTGTAAGATTTATATTATTTATTTTTATTGCAAAATCATTTATATATATAGAGGAGGAGAAACAGAGAGAAATACCTTCTGTCCAATGGATTCACTCCACAAGTGGCCACCATGGCCAGTGCTGCACCAATCTGAAGCCAGAAGCCAGGAGCTGTTCCGGGTCTCCCACATGGGTGCAGGGTCCCAAGGATTTGAGCCGTCCTTGACTGCTTTCCAAGACCACATGCATGGAGCTGGATGGGAAGTGGGGCTGCCAGGATATGACCCAGTGTGCGTTCAAGGCAACGACTTCTAGCTTCTAGGCCATGGCGCCGGCCCCTTATTGTTCTTTCTTTTAAAAACAATATTTCTAGCACATTTGCAAAAAAAATCTTAATTTAAGTTTTTATTTAGGTAAAACATTGATTTTTTTCCTCTCACCTATGACACAAAAGGTGTGAGTCAAAATGTTAGATTACAGGAGTTACTTTAATAGAGGTCAGATTTTTATAACAATAGCAATGTGCTATATAATACCCTACTTCTGAATGAAGTTTTAGTTATTTCAAAGACTCACTTATCTTTTCAACAAAAACTTCTTGATCACAAAAATTTTTCATATGAACTTCATGTATAATATACCTCTGTTTTTATAATGATAGAGTATGAGAATGTCTTAAAGTGGCGAATGGAAATATGGTAAGGATAACTTACAGACTAATTTTGCAAATAATGTCAAGTCTGTGACACAAATAATTTTTTAATAGGCATCATTATATCCTTCAGGTTTGAATAGAGAAATTAAAGCATAAGTACTTGATAATTTGTGTTAAACATTTTAAAGATACACATATGTTGCTGCTTTTTATTCTTTTCTTTTGTGTTCAATCAGATTCGTTCAATTGAAGGCCAGTATGGCACGCTTCAAGCATATGTGACTCCAAGAATTCAACCTAAAACCTGTCAAGTCCGCCAATACCAGATAAAACCTCTTTCACTCCATCAGAGAACACACTTTATTGATCATGGCAGGTGAGACAAAGGAAAGAGCAGTTTAATTTTACTGTATGATATAATTCAGAGCAAATTGCCTTTTGTACTGTAAATTCTGGAGGTTATTCAACATTTAGAAATTAAATACTTTGTTTATTCTAATAGAAGCTGGTTTGAATTGGATTTTTGTATCTTTCCTCATATGTTGTCTTTCTGGAATCATTGGAGTGGCAGTTTTCTGTCTTAAATACCTTTTTTGAGGGCTTTAATTTTTAAAATTATTATCATTTTATGATACATTTGCATAAGCCCTGGGATTTCCCCTGTCCTCTCCCCCAAAACCTCCTGCCACACAAACACACGCACACACATTTCCAGTAATAATTTGGCTTGATTTTGTTTCAGTGTTGGTATTTCTTGAGTGACATTCCTTAAATTCCTGCATTTGCTTGTCGTTGCTGATAACAAGTTCTATAACAAGCATTTTGAATTCTGTATCCCCTATTTTCTTATTGTATTCCTCAGTTAACTGAGGAATGGCAAAGGCTTTTGCTCCTTTGCAGGGTAGTCTTCAGTAATATTCATTGTGCCTTTGTCTGTTTTTTTTCTCTTGGTCATTGTTCTTCTAGTTAACAGATTCTTCTCCTTAGGGCAGGTTTCTAAGCTGTGTCACCCACAAGTCTGTAATTTGATATTACTTATTGAAGTTGGTACATGAGTCTTTGTTTGCAGTTCTTCTGCCACTCCTTCCAGTGAGTTTTAGATCTGGGCTCTCATGTTAGACTTCCACCAGGTTTCCATAGCCCCAGCTCCTGGCTCACCACTTTCCACTTCCTGTGATCCCATGCCGTTGTTGCACTGTTGTCTGTATAACCTTTCTCCCACTTTTATTTTGTGTAGTTCCCAGCATTAGGGAGACACCAGGTGTCCTGAATAGCTAGGTTGTTGGCAGTGCTGATCTTGCTGGCCATTAGGTCTGAGGGCCACATGGACCTATTTTGAGTCATAAGATACCAAAGTTGGTATTATTTTCAATGTGGGACCAGTATAGCACACTGAACTCAGTGAGTTCGTTCCCAGCTCAGTGCATTCGCCAGCTCACTATTGTCCCTGTAGTCTCAAGAACCTTTGCCACACTGTACAAAATGGCATCTGATGTGCCACTTGTGGAGTTCTGGATCTGCTGGCTATTAGGTCTGGGGCTACCTGACCTATTTTGGGTGGAACCTGTAGGATGCTATGTTGGTATAATTCACTGAACCCAAAATGAGTTCACTTCCAGCTTAGTGCATGTGCAGTCCTGTCCCATAGCCTTTGCCTCCCTACACAAGATGGCACCCAATTTGGCTCTACTGGGGGTTTGGGCTGTGAAATCCACCCTGTTCCCACACCGCCTGTTTGGGATCTGCTGCTCTGTCTCTGCTCCTGGTCAAATCAAACAAACCAGCAGAATGGGCAGTTCTTTGTCTGGGTTCACCTCCTGAGCTCCTGGTGAGTGTCCCTTCCCACTTTGTTGCTGGTGAATTGCCGGCTGCCAGTACAGTTCAGATTGCTGTGAGCTGAATGTTGCTGGAATGTCTGGTCACTGCAACACCACCCCTTTATTTCCACTGCTTTCCTGTGTTCATTAGTCTCCAGGTTCCCTCTGCCATCATACTGTCCTCTCCTATTTCCTGGAATGTGCCCGCTCTGCTTCACATGTTTGAATGTGTCTGTTTAAATGTGTCCTTACCCTATTCCTCCATCTTGGTTCCCCTCCTTGAATACCTGTTGTGAGCAAGTACTGTTTAGCATTTAGATTGTCGAATAGTTGTCTGTGAATCATGCCTCAAACATTAGTTTCATTACTTCCTTTCGGTTTCATTTCAGGAGATAGCAGCATAGTAATTGGCTGTGAGAGCCCCTGTTATTTTTTACTTCCTTTCCAACTGAAATATCCTGTTTGTATTTTGTCTGCACAAGAGAACATAGACTTAAATGAAATAGAAGGGAAAGAGATGAATAGTTATTGAATAGCTTATCTTTGCCACATACTGTGCTATAGATGGCATAAATATTATTTAATTCATAGAGTAAAACAAAAGTGATGTCTCCATTTTAAAAGTGAGAAATGGAGGTTTGGACAAGTACATCACTGTGATAAAAACAAACAGAAAAACCAGAGCTGTGATGTTAAGCCAAAGCCCTGTTGTAGCTTGTAACTTAAAATATATGCAATTTAAATAAGATACAGGGAAGAATATTCTTTTCTTTTTTTAAGATTTATTTTTATTATTTTTTTTATTGGAAAGGCGGCTATACAGAGAGGAGAGACAGAGAGGAAGATCTTCCATCCAATGATTCACTCCCCAAGCAGCTGCAACGGGCCGATGCCAGGAGCCTCTTCCGGGTCTCCAACGCGAGTGCAGGGTCCCAAGGCTTTGGGCCGTCCTCAACTGCTTTCCCGGGCCACAGGCAGGGAGCTGGAAGGGAAGCGGGGCTGCCGGGATAGAACCGGCACCCATATGGAATTCCGGGCGTGCAAGGCGAGGACCTTTAACCACTTGCACCACTGCGCCGGGCCCGGGAAGAATATTCTGAAAAACATTTTTAAAGCATAGATTTTTTTTTTAGGGTGTCTTCCTGCATAAAATAAGGATGGCGTAAATGGTGGCAGTATGGTATGCTAGAAAAAGCAAAGTGGAAGTCAAAACACTGGAATTATAATCTGTTCCTGTGCAATTTTGAGACATAAGTTTTGTGGGTTTTGTTTTTTTTCATCTGCAAATGAGAAGATTAATTTGGATGATCTCGAAAGATCCTTCTTGTTTTTAATAGTCTTAAATTTTGTGTCCTTAAAGTTCCTTTTGAACTTTTCACCCCATAAAGTATTTTTTCAACTCTCCATAATTATCCATTTTAATTTATTTTAAATCAATTTGTCTTAGTTTACCATTTTGCAAGATGGAAAGTATTATCCCATTTAGAGGATACTATTTTCTTTTTTCCTTTTTTAAGATACTATTTTGTAATTTGCCCAGGACTACACAAAATAAGGTTTCAAATCTATGCCCTTTTAAAGTTTATGAAAGAGGTAAAGAGAAGTATGTTCTAATGAAAAAATAAACTAGTTATATGACTTAAGTGAATAATACCTTTAATGACCATTTTTCATGAATTTGAAATGTTCACTTTTTTGATATACAAGATTAATCTGAAAAAAGTTAAATTTCAAATAAGATTGAGAAAAGTTAAATTTGTTTTTATATTTGTTTAGCTACAATAGCAAAAATTCTGCTTGTTAATATGTGCATATGCCATTTCTATGTGTTCCCACACAAATGTGTGCCTCTACAATAAATTTCCAGACCCATGAATACATTGACCCTAACAGGCCAATTTAGTTTTGCTGAAGTTCACTCCTGGGTGGTATTTTGCCTGCCTGAAGTTCCTGAAAAGCCTCCTGCAGGAGAATGTGTGACATTTTACTTCCAGAACACCTTTCTGGATACACAGCTTGAAAGTGTCTACAGGTAAGTCAAGCTTTTTTACTGGCTTGCAAATGTTGTTTTGTATAAATAGTGCTTCTAGGTTTTAATTTGTCCTAAGCAAGGAATAATCTGAAAATATGTGATTGAAAACCTATACTAATCTAGATCATCTATTGAAAAACAGGTGGGATTAAGGTGTTTAGGAAAGCGGTTGAGTAGGACCAAGTAATCTAGTGGTTCAAGTCCTCATCTTGCATGCACAAGGGTCCCATGTGGGCGCCGCTTCATGTACTGGCTCCTACATTTCATCCAGTTCCTTGTTTGTGGCTTGGGACCCTGTACCTGTTAGATTTGCTGACTTCCCATGAAAGAATAATTCAGTCAAGTATAGAAAATACCAATGGCCATTATTCAAAGAAACTGCTTTTGCCAACCTTTCTTCCCCAGTGCCAAAAAGACAGATGTGGAGGAGGGAGCTACAGAGGAATGGAAAGAGGCGAGGAAAGAAGCTTGCAGGGACTTTTAAACCCCTCTTGACAGAGAAGCTGAAGCAGGCGTCTCTCCTGCCATTATTTGGTGAGGAATATTGGCTTGTGTGCATCATTGATCCATCAGGGCTTTGCTGTCCTGCTGAACTGCCAGAACCCTACCTCCCCTTCCCACGGCCCATGTGACCTGTCTGGTCTGATGCAAACTCTGCCCAATTCCTGTAACCATGGCAACATCAGCACTAACTTGGGAGACCTGGAAGAGGCTCCAGGCTCCTGGCTCCTGCCTTTGAATTGGCTCAGCTCCAGCCATTATGGCCACTTGAGGAGTGAACCAGCAGACGGAAAATCTTCCTCTCTGTCTCTCCTTCTATCTATCTATCTATCTATCTATATATATATATCTGACTTTCCAATATAAATAAGTAAATCTTTTTTAAAAAAAGGCAAAAGGAAAGATCAGTACCTTTCCTTAATTCCTAACAGTAAATGAGAGAATGAATTGTTTCAAGACACTCTTCTAGAGTAGTAATAACAGCAAAATCTCACATGAAATCCATAGGAATATTCTTCATTTTAAGCATGTAGAACTCATATGTAAAAAAACTACACTTTTATTAACATGAACGACTTTGATAAACTGACATACAATATAGTGGCAGTTGTAAAGATGGCCCCCCTTTCCTGATTGAGTAAATATTTATCCTAATTCTAATGAAAATTTCAGTTAAATTTCTTTATATAAACATGTGAAAAGGCTTAGAATTTCAGGGCTTAGAGCGTGTAGACTCTTTGAAGCTGTCGTGTTGCAGTGTGAATGTCATTATACTCTTCTAATTCATCTGGACTTCCTGGTTATACTTTTTTTTTTTTTTTAAGATTTATTTACTTACTGGAAAGGCAGAGTTAGAGAGGGGGGGAGGTCTACAGCCATACCACCCTGAACGCGCCTGATCTCGTCTGATCTTGGAAGCTAAGCAGGGTTGGGCCTGGTTAGTACTTGGATGGGAGAAGGGGGGAGATAAACAGATAAGATCTGCCATCTGCTGGTTCACTCTGCAGAAGGACAAAATGGCAGATAGCCAAATGCTTGAGTCTCTGCATCCACGTGGAAGACCAGGAAGAAGTTCCTGGCTCTGTTGGAGTCTTTTGAGGAGTGAACAAGAGTTCCCTGTCTTGCTGCCCAATCTTTTTCTGCAACTCTGCCTTTCAAATAAATAACCAGGTCAGTCCAAAGCTAGGAAGATTTGGTTTTCTTTGTTTCCTTTGGGGGAAGGTGGCAAGCTTATCCCTTTTTTGCCCTCTGCCTCTTAAGGATTCTTTCTCTGAGCAACTAATTGAGAATTTATTTCTGCTTTCTACTTGAGAGTTTACTGCACTGACTTCTAGAAACAGTAACAAACATGTAATTTTACAATAGATTACAGTCTTTTGGGACAAAAAAATCTGAGTAAGTCTTACTGGTGTTAGCATCAGTTATTTGAGATTGATTCACTGTACCCTTCTGGGAGCTTGTGGTAATTACTCCTGTTTTGAAGTGCCACAGTGACCTTTGCATGTCAGTCCTAGCAGATAATTCAACATGCGCTTGGCATATCTTTGCTATTTATCATTTTGTATCTTTTAAAATTATTAGTTTTTATTTATTTATTTTAAAAGAGTTTCATTTACTTGAAAGGCAGAGTTACAGAGAAAATGGGAGAGAGAGCGACAGAAAGAGGGTGAAAGGGAGTGGAGGGGAGAGAGACAAGAAGAAAATGGGGAGCAGAGAGATGGGGGGCTGTCTACTTCCCAAATGACTGCATCATCTCAGATTGGTTCAGCCCCAAGCCAGGAGCTTTTTCTGGGTCTCCCATGTGGGTGGTGTGGGCCCAAGCATTTCAAAAGTGGAGCAGCTGTCTCTAGTCTGGTTCCCATAGAGAATTTTGTCAGGTGGGGGTTTAACCTGTTATGCCACAGTTAAGCCCCTATTTGAGCATCAGCTAGAGAGATAGAGTACCCATTTGCTGATCAACCCCCCAAATGCCCCCAGGACCCAGGCTTGAAGGCAGGAGTCAAAACTTAACCCAGGTCTCCCATGTGAGCAGCAGGAACCCAGTTACATGAACCACTAGCTGCTGTCTGCCAGGGTGCACACCGGCAAGAAGCTAGAGTCACAAGTTACAGTTAGGAGCTGGGAATAGATCTTGACGCTCCAGGGTGGGACCACTAAATGCCTATTCCCATTCTGTTTCTTTAAGTAATCTGTGTTTCTAAAGATTTATTTATTTGTTTCCTTATTAGTTAACTTACTTGAAAGGCAGAATGACCAGGAGATAAATATTACATCCTTTGATTCATTCCCCACATGGCCTCAACTGAGCCAGGGCTGAGTCAGGCCAAAGTCAGGAGACAGGAAGTTCACTGAAGCCTTCCATGTTGAGTGCAGAGACTCAAGTACTTGAACTGTGACTCTTGCCTTCCAGGTGTGTTAGCAGGGAGCTGGCTCAGAAGTGGTAAAACTGAGATTTATATTTAAGGGATGTGAGTGTCTGAAGCAGTTGCTTAATCCTCGATGCCGTAACAGCTGCCCCTAAGTACCTTCTCTTAACATTCAAAACTAATTTAACTGTCAAGGCACAATTTAACAGCTATATTTTTAAAACCTGCCTCAATTCTTTTTTCAGTGCATATAGCATTTTGTTGTTACTTATCTTTGTTTAAAGTATAGTTTTTGTGTATGTCCAATGCATAGAGTCTATTTGTAATTATGTTTGCTTATATGGTCAAGTACTTTATACAAGGTTTTGCATACAGCATGTTCTCAATAGATATTTTTCAGGCACCTGGCTAAAAATACATGTATATGGAAGTGTAGTAGTATAGATGCATTTGCGTTGGAGGCAGACATATAATAAATTCTCGGCCTTTTGGCTAAGATCAAGTGTGGAAGCAGACATACTTAGACATGAATCTTACCTCTGTGACTCACCATCTGTGTTACCTTGGCTGGTTGCTTAGCTCTGATTTTCAAGTTTCTTGGGCCTGGCACAATGACTGAATTGGCTAATCCTCCCCCTTGCAAAGTGTCAGGATCCTGAATAAATGCCAGTTTGTGTCCTGGCTGCTCCACTTCCCATCTCGCTCCCTGTTTATGGCATGGAGAAGCAGAGAAGGATGGCCCAAAACATTGGGACTCTCATCCATGAGGGAGACCCAGAAGAAACTTCTGCTGGTGGCTTCAGATCAAGTCTGCTCCGGGCCCTTGCAGCCTTTTGGAGAGTTAACCAGCAGATGGAAAATCTTTCCCTCTGTCTCTTATTCTCTCTGCAAATCTGCCTTTCCAATAAAAATAAATATGTCTTTTTTTTTTAAGTTTCTTTTCTGAAGAATGGAAGTAATAATACTTCATTGGGTTATTGTGATGATTAAAAGATCGACCATTTGAGTCATTCCACAATGTTTGGCAGCCTGTGTTAATTAAATATCATCTGTTAAGATTAAATACTAGTGAAAATGCCATGATTTCTAAAACATAATTGGGATCAAAATAGTAAGGGTTTATTATTCATCTTTATATAAAAGTAGAATCTGACTACAGCCAACCAATATAGATGATTTGTGAGTACCAAATGAAAAGATAATAGGGCCCAGCGGCGTGGCCTAGCGGCTAAAGTCCTCGCCTTGAACGCCCCAGGATCCCATATGGGCACCAGTTCTAATCCTGGCAGCTCCACTTCCCATCCAGCTCCCTGCTTGTGGCCTGGGAAAGCAGTCAAGGACAGCCTAAAGCTTTGGGACCCTGCACCTGCGTGGGAGACCTGGAAGAGGCTCCTGGCTTTGGATTGGCTCAGCTCCAGCCGTTGTGGCCGCCTGGGGAGTGAATCATTGGACGGAAGATCTTCCTCTCTGTCTCTCCTCCTCTCTGTATATCTGACTTTGTAATAAAATAAATAAATCTTTTAAAAAAAGAAAATAGATAAAAGATGATAAATATTATTTAGGAAACTTGTGTTAATTATAAAAAGAAATCAAATGCCTGCAACCTTAACCAAATAAAGGAATTTATCAGCTCCTGTCACTTTAACAGTGATTTGCCTTAGGCCCAGTTTGGCCACAGTCACCTGAGGTACAGTGAAGACCTATTGTAGGACCAGGTTGTTTCTCAACGGATTAAGCTGCTATTTGTGATACTGCATCCTATATTGCAGTTCTAGCTTGAGGTCTTGTCATTTCACTTCTGACCCAGCTCCCTGATGCTGCTCAGTATGTTTATAAGTTAGAAAATCTAAATGCATATGTTACATATAAAGGATTAGCTATTAGCTCTATGAGTGAAAAGGAAGAAAAAATCATCTTAAATCAAGGACTTACATAAATTGTTGTTTCTTTAAGAGGCATTGTCTAGCATCTTCAGTTTCATGAATATGTTCAGGAATTGAAATAAGATGGCAGTAAAAGATTATATTTTAAGTATGCCTTATATTAATAAGACACATGCAGGCATAAATTTAAAAATCAGGTGAAATATAAACACAGAATGCTAATCATAAAATGTATATTTAATGGACCAAGTCTTTCTCTAGCTCTTTTTAAAAATGTTTTAATTTTATAGAAAAGGAGAAGGAGTTTTTAAATCTGACAACATTTCTACTATATCCATCCTAAAAGATGTGCTCTCTAAAGAAGCTACGAAAAGGAAAATTAACCTCAACATATCATATGGTAATTCTTTCTGATTTTTTTGTTGTGACATTGGTGTTGTTTCTGATCAATGTATTTACCTATTTGTGCCTGGCCAACTCCTTTTAGAGATAAATGAGGTGTCAGTCAAACACACTTTAAAGCTGATTCACCCAAAGCTGGAGTACCAGTTGCTTTTGGCTAAGAAGGTACAATTAATTGAAGCTTTAAAAGTAAGTATGCATGCCATGATTCACAATCATTATTTTTAAAATCTTGATATTTTTCTAAATAATGTTATACTGGATGTAATTTTGAACTTCTGTTTTTAATGTAAAATAAGGAATTGCAGGTTCATGAAGGAAATACAAATTTTCTGATACCAGAGTATCGCTCTATTCTTGAAGAGGCTGATTATCTGCTGGAAGAATACAAAAAGCAACCTGCACATCTTGAACGACTTTATGGTTAGTAGACCAGTCTAGAATGGTCTTTCAGTATTTGTTTTCAACTGGCTGCTTGACAAGGATCTTGTAAGAAAAACAGGAAAAAATGAGTCAAATATTAAGTTATGAAGTAGTAGAGTTTAGACTATATTTTACACAAATAATGTTCAGGTTTTATTGTTATTGTGAGTTGTAACAAAGCAGAAGCATTTAATAATTTTAGGTGAAATTAAATGAATTGTTTCACAATACAACTTGCAATATACCCAAAATCTTGCTGCCAAAGCAAACCAAAGTTTGAACTATAAATTGACATATATATGTAAATTATATATATCAACTATATATATATATGTTAAAAACTTGGTTTACTTTGGTGGTGGGATCAGTGTTTCACCACTTGCGTTGAAAGAAATAGGGAAAGAAGAGGAGGCAGGCAGGAAGGAGCAGCATAGGAAAAAAGTTTTTTCTCAGTCCTTATATAACAACTATTATGCATGACACTATTTAAACCATCTTCATAATCAAATGGGACATTTAATTCTTATCATGAAATGATCTTTATTTAAGAAATATTGTTTACCTAAAACCTAAGACTAAACATTTCTGTTCTTATAGCTGGGCTAGGTACTAGCCAAGACCCTGGAACTCCACCTGGGTGTCCCATGTGGGTGGCAGGAATTTTTTTTTTATTTTACTTTTTCCATTTTTTATTATAATTTTGACAATCTTTACATAGTTAATTAGGGCAAAAAGGTTCAAGGGCTATAGGAAAGTGGGTAAGACTATTATTTCCATGTTGTTTCCTTCATGTATCTGAGGTAAAGGGGGATGTTGAGAGAGAAGCCCCACCCAGTTTCCCACCCACCCCACAATTTACTTTTTCTAATAAAAATTTATTTGTCTGAAATACAGAGTGGCAAAGAAGGGGGAGACAGAAGGGGAGGACACGGGGATCTTCCATTTGTTGGTGGTTCACTCTCAAATTGCTGAAACACCTAGAGCTGGGCCAGGCTGAAGCTAGGAGCTAGGAGCTTCATTTGTTTCTCCCATTGGGTGCAGGACCCAAGCACTTGGGCTATCCTCTGCTGGTTTTCCAGGTGCATTAATAGGGAGCTGGATCGAAAGTGGAATTTCCAGGACTCACGCCCATACAGGATGCCTGTATTGTAGGTGACAGCTCAACCCATTATGTCACAACACCAACCCCAGTAATGTCAATCTTAAAAACGATATCCAGAGCTCGGTGTGATAGCCTAGTGGTTAAAGTTCTCACTTTGCACACACAGGATCCCATATGGGCACCAGTTCTAATTCTGGCAGCCCTGCTTCCCATCCAGCTTCCTGCTTGTGGCCTGGGAAGGTACAGCCCAGGGCCTAGGGACCCTGCACCTGCATGGGAGATCTGGAGGAGGCTCCTGGCTCCTGGTTTTGGATCAGCTTAGCTCTGGTCTTTGCAGCCGTTTAGGGAGTAAGTCAGTGGATGGAAGGTTTTCCTCTCTGTATAAAAATAAAAAATAAATCTTAAAAAAAAATTTCCAGGTGATTACTTACTCAGTATTCCATTAAATAGAACTAAGTGACAGGACATTTTCATTTTTCTTTGTAGGCATGATCACTGATCTTTTCATCGATAAGTTTAAGTTCAAAGGCACCAATGTAAAAACCAAGGTACCTCTTCTGCTGGAGATCCTGGATAGTTACGATCAAAATGCACTGATTGCTTTCTTTGATGCAGCATGATGTGTCAGCAAGGTAAAGCTCCAAAGATAGAGTCTCAACAGAAATGCCAAAACATGCTTCGTACTGCAAATGCTTTTTGATGTCAAATAATTTATTGATGTATCACCTAAAAATGTGAGACAGTGACTTTTTTAGTAATACTTCTATTTTGATAAATGAATATTTTTTTAAAATGTGTTTTTACTTTTGAAGCTCAAGGAGAATGGTTATGAGGGTTTGCTTTGTACATTTTACTAAGTGAATGCTTTTATTTTCAAATTGAGAAATACTATATTGAAAATTAAAATGTATTCAAATTTTGTGCAAGGCACCTACACACTTAAGTGTAAACTACTTTACAGGCTTCAAGGCATATTTTTATGTATTACCTTGTTTCCACACCTGGTGTGTGTCTCGGTTCCTAGATATGCCGCCAGACTGTGCCAGCCACCTCCGTCTGTTTGTGCTGGTGGCTGGGGTTGATGGGCAGCTGATTGCTTGGTCGGTGGTGTTTTCTGATCCTGCTGCTTGTGTGATGTGCTACACAGCGCTGTAAGGTGTGGCCCCAGAAGGAAGCACGGCTCCGAGCCTGGGCACGCTTCCCTTGCTGTTGTGTCACAGGCGGATCTCAGGCGCCCAGCGGGAAGAGTGCAGGAGTCATGCCGCGTTCGTTTTCCTTCGGCCGTAATTTCCTTTTTCATTCTTGTTGGAGCAAAATATTTTGCTCATTAATCCTGATTCAAGTGTATTCGTGTCAGATGTCAGGGAAATAGTTGGCTTAAAAGTTTTTACATGGTACTAACATCATGGAAAATAAGCTCGATTTTATGCTTTCAGGAAGGGCCGACTCATGAGTTTGACAGAAAATTGCTTTGTTACATGCCAGTATTTATTTGCAAACCTTATATGTTAAATGTAAAAATGTGTTAGATACATGCAGTTAAGAGTTTTGTTGTAATAGGGTCGTATTGCTTTTGCTGCATTTAAATAGCCTTCATTTTAAATGGAACACCGTAATTTTATCTCAGTCATTAGAATTTCCGTCTCCTTTCTATTGGCTGCCATAGCTTGGCAAAAACATTAAAGGTAATGACTGGTGATTGTCTGTTTTTTGTAATCTATTACTATTTACCTGTTATCAACGATAGTTCATTGTGTCATCTTGAATTACCTGCATCTTCATTAAGAAAAATAAAAAATGCTAAGAGAAAGTTCTGCCTCCTTGCTAAGTGGTAAGATCATCTTGTAGTCTGTCATTTTTAAGTATTGCTATGTGAACTGCGTGTTAAAAGGTGGGTGCACGTTACGTAATCCTAACAATCCTCTGACCTGTAGAAACTAGTTCCAGTTAGATAAAACAAAGAGTTGGTGACTTTGAGGCCACTAACAGCCGCTGCACTCCCGCAGGGCAGCTCCCGCCTGCAGGCTGCACGCCCGCCTGGCCCCGCCCTCCGGCCCCGCGCCGGTCCGCGCAGGCGCCTTTCCTCCCGCCCGGCGCGACGTGGCTCCGCCTCGTCCGTGCAGGGCTCGCTGCGCCGCCGCCTTCACTCTGCTGCGACCCTGTCGCATCCGGTGACGTGGCGGGACGCGGCCGCTCTCATTGGCCCATTTCAATAGTCGCGGGATACTTGAACTGCATGAACAGCCGCGGCGGCGGCGGGCTGCTGGCTGCATCTGCGGGCGTACTCGGTGCTGCACGCCCGCCAGGCCTTGCCTCCGCCTCTCGCAACCTCCTCGATCCGAGCGGTCCGGAGGCCGAGGAGAGGGCCGGACGCCTGGCAGGACTGGCCCTGGCTGCGGCGGCGGCTCCGGTTGCAGCGCTCCTCGGCGGGATCGGCGCCTTAGTCGGCTGGGCGGAGTGCACGCTGCTTGGCTCGGCAGCTGATCGCGCCGCCCGCCGCAGGGAGCAGCGATGTTGGGCAACTCGGCACCGAAGCCCGCGGCCCGCGAGGCGGGCTCGGCCCTGCTAACGCTGCAGCAGAAGGCGCTCCACGAGGACCAGGAGAACATCAACCCGGACACCGCGCTGCCCGCCCAGCAGCCACGGACCCAGGCCGCCCTGGCGGTACTGAAGGCCGGGAACTCGCGGGCTCCAGCCGTACAGCTAAGGCCCAGGACGCGACGGGTAAAGGGATGGGAGACGGCTGGAGGGCGGTGGGCCGAGCGGGGGTCGGGCATGACTTAAGAGGAGGGAAGGAACAAGAAACAAACGCGGGGCCTTGCACGGGAAGCCGGAGGCGGGATCGGAATTCCACTTGGTCCCCGCTCCTCCTGCGTGCGGGGTGCCGTTATTGGCTTTCTTCCACTCAGCAGTGTATGCGTTCCCAGCGCTGCGGGTGGTGCATGTCCGCCCTGGGGGGCTCATTTCTGTGGATCCTGAGGTCAAACCAACCCCACAACCAGTGCCTTGGCCAAGCCCCACGCCTTTCTTCCACTTTCAAACCCCAAGCACTGTCCGAGGAACCGGGTCCCCTCCCCCCTCACCATCTGGCCATGCGTCCTTGTATTTCAGAAAGGGATGTAGAAAAAAATAATAATAACCTGTAGCTTTTGCCAATTCCGCCATTTTGGCCGAATTGGCTATGTTGCTCCACCCTGGGGCCAAAGTGCTGAACCAATGCTTTATAAAGGTGCCATTGCCTTCCTCAGCCTGTCAGGTCTGCCACCTCCCAGGTTCTTTGTGGCTTTGGTCAGGGTTTATATAATTCTCCTCTGGTTCTGCCTTTTTTAGGTGCTTTCATAAGTACGTGAGACTGAAATATTCCTTTTATCTTCCTTGCCTAGCCTTATGAAAGTTGAATTTTCCTTAATACTGAGTATTGGATCTCATGGGGGGAAAGTGGCAAAATTCAAAGCCAGCTATTAATGTCCTTTTAGGTTGCACCTCTAAAGGATGTTTGTGTAAATGATGAGCATGCCGCAGTTCCTCCTTGGAAAGTCAATGGTAAACAGCCGGCCTTCACCATTCATGTGGATGAACCCGATCAGGAGCCTCCCAAGAAGCCCAATGATTCCAAAAAATCCTCCCCCAAGTCTGAGGATGCCTTGGCTTTTAGTTCAGCAATTGCTTTACCCGGACAAAGAAAACCACTGGTACCTCTCGATTATCCAATGGATGGTAGTTTCAATGGTGGTAAGTTTCAAAGAAAATATGTCATACTAAGATAATGATAGCTATATGGTTAGAGGTACTTATTTCACAGCTAACATTTGACCTAGCCACCGACAAAAGGACCTCAATCCTGATCACATCAGTTTATTTAGAGCGTCAATGCTGATTTTAATGTGACCCCATAACTGTTTGCCTCTCTGTGAGTGTAGATTTCATTTGCATGTAAGCAGTTAGTACTTTTGAATCGTGATATTGTGATCTCCAACATCTGCAGCTTTAGCATTTCGATTCTGTGTCATCTGATACCCGAGTTGGGATGCCCTGGTGCAGGTCTCCACCACAGCTGTTTTCTGTGACAGCAGCTGCTGCGGGGCTGTGTCTGGGCTGTGCCATTTGTTTGCCATGGATTGTTGAATCACTGAAGAGATCATTGTATCTAATCCAATTTTAGTTTTAGTTGGGAGAATAATTAGGGAAGGATCTTTGGAAGTAATTTGTTTTTATTCCACTTTTGCAACAAACTTAACCACAAGGTGATCTTTCAAGTGAAATAATGGTATTTGGTTCAAGATAGCATTACAAAAAATGAATAGCTTATTACAGTATTAATCTGAACTGTGCATTGATAAAGTTAATGCCCTCATTAACACTTGGTAGAAACCAGTTAGTTCTGATTCTAACTACTACCAAAGTGTGCCTTGAATATATCAGACTGTGGCTCTGCAGTCTTTTAGGCAACTCTTAAGGATGTTAACTGTGCCATCTGCTGCTGTCCCATAGGACATGATGCTTTAATAGAATACTCAGGCTTCATTTTCTGTTATTGGCCTGTTAATATGTATTAATTTTTATTAACTGAAATTCTAAATAGTTAAGATATTCTGAGTACTTCATTATAAGCAAGCATTCTTACAGATGAAGTAGATGCTTTGATAATGAGATTCCTTATAACAGTAATTTTGAACTGTTAAACACAAAACTTTAACAGTTAACTTGGACATTTTTTTATTGTCTCAGAGTCACCAAATATGATGGACATGTCAATTGTATTAGAAGATGAAAAGCCAGTGAGTGTTAATGAAGTTCCAGACTACCATGAGGATATTCACACTTATCTTAGGGAAATGGAGGTAAAGACTGAGTCCGCTTTGTAAATGTAATTCAGTAAAACAATATAAACTGCTTTATCCTAATGCTTAAGTTCACAGTGTGCACAGCTTTGTTAACACAACTAAACTTTTTCAACAGCTTAAATGTAAACCTAAAGTGGGCTACATGAAGAAGCAACCTGACATCACCAACAGTATGAGAGCTATCCTCGTGGACTGGTTAGTTGAAGTAGGAGAGGAATATAAACTACAGAATGAGACCCTGCATTTGGCAGTGAACTACATCGACAGATTCCTTTCTTCAATGTCTGTGTTGAGAGGAAAGCTTCAGCTTGTGGGCACGGCTGCCATGCTGCTAGCCTCGTAAGTTCAACTTGCTTTGCCTGATTGAAAGTGATCACTACCTTTTTGCTTAGGGAAGAAGCTACATTAAAAACACATCCACTGGCATTTTAGTGTGGTACAGGACAGAGCATCAGTGATTACTTTAGGGATGATGGTGTGATGGAGGCTGGGGTTAGAGGAGCTGTCGTTGTCAAAGTTTATTTTCCCACAAATTAACACTTCTTAAAATTTTAGCTATTTGGAAAATTCTAGTGTAGTTCTCTCCTTGGGGAATGTCATCTCATTTCTTTGAACAGGGAGAAATGTCTTGGGAGCCCTTTCAATTTGGATGGTCAGGAATTGATATAAGTACATTTTGTGGAGTGTAGGTTTTGGATTCATTCCAGATGTTCTGCTACTGTGATTTCAGAATCAAGACTGATTATCTAAAAACTTTCATTGTAGGAAATTTGAAGAAATATACCCTCCAGAAGTAGCAGAGTTCGTGTACATTACAGATGATACCTATACCAAGAAGCAAGTTCTGAGAATGGAGCATCTAGTTTTGAAAGTCCTTGCTTTTGACTTAGCTGCCCCAACAGTAAATCAGTTTCTCACCCAATATTTCCTGCATCAGCAACCTGCAAACTGCAAAGTTGAAAGTTTAGCAATGGTAAGTTATTTAAATTTTTGTTGGAGTTTTATGTAATAATTGGGGCAAGTCAAGACAACAATGGCACAGAAATGGCCAACACTGGTGGCAGGCTAACCCTTCTCCTATGGCAGCAGCATCCCACACTGCTGCCAGTTCTTGTCTCAGCTATTCCACTTCCCATCTAGCTCTCTGCTAATGGCCTAGGAAAGCAGTAGACTATGACTCAAGTCCTTCCACCCCTGCATTCATGTGGGAGACCCAGGAGCTCAGGCTCTTGACTTCACATTAGCCCAGCTCTAGCTATAGGCGGCCATTTGGGGGAGTAAACCAGTGGATCAAAGATCTGTGTCTCTTTTCAAATTCTCCCTTTCAAATAGAAAAAAAAATTTTTTTCTAAATGGGGCAGTAAGTACACTATGTATTTAGAGATGAGGTTGTGAAATATTTTCTGGAATTGGTACAAAGTAAAACACAAGAAACAATCAGGTCAGAACTTGAGGCTTGACTTAGAACTCTTGTGATCACAAGGTATTTTTCATTTCAGTTTCTGGGAGAATTAAGTTTGATAGATGCTGACCCATACTTAAAGTATCTGCCATCAGTTATTGCTGGAGCAGCCTTTCACTTAGCACTCTACACAGTCACGGGACAAAGCTGGGTATGTATGACGTAGTCTTCACCTATCTTCCTTGTGTCAGTTCAGTTAGATAATCATCCTGTACAAGTGATGGTAATGTAAATGATCTGTCGTGATCTGTGTTTAAGACATCTCACTTGTTGAATAACATCTGTTGTTAGATTGAAGGCTTTGTTGTAGGATTTGAAGAAAGGTGGCCTTCAAGAATTCAGATTCTATGACCTGCTGTTTGCAGGGCAAGTAGTTAAAATGGGAATATGCGTGAGAAATATGGAATAATGGCCTGAGAAACTAACACATTTGTTAGTACTGAAATGTATCACCAACTTGTTTTACTGCCTACTATCAACAACACTGGTTCTCTGCTCCCTTGCCATAGCCTGAATCACTAGTACGCAAGACTGGATACACGCTGGACATCCTGAAACCTTGCCTCATGGACCTTCACCAGACCTACCTCAAAGCACCACAGCATGCACAACAATCAATAAGAGAAAAGTACAAAAACTCAAAGTAAGAGCTAACTTGGATTTTGAATAAACCTGCTTTTTGGCTGTGCTTCGGAAATCGTTCCGATTCCCATTTTAGCTTTAATCTGCCACAGCCTCCACAAGCAGCTGTTCTCCTGGCAGGTCATTTGTTTGGAGGCAGCTGTAGTTAATGCTTTTTTATCCTGCATCTGGAAGAGGGAGAAGGGGGAGGGAGGTATTTTGGGGATCAGACATTCTTCAATCCAATAGAGGTTCCCAATACATATTGTATTATATGATTTCCCTCATCCAATGATGTTCACTAAAACTAGGTATTTTTCTACTTACAGGTATCATGGCGTTTCCCTCCTCAACCCACCAGAGACACTAAATCTGTAAAAGCAAAGACTGCTTTTGTTTTCTAAGATGTAAATCACTCAAAGTATATCGTGTACAGATTTTATCTTAGGTTTTTAATGTTAACGATCATTTCTGAATACAGGTATGGACAAAAACAAATTATGGTATCTATTACTTTTTTTAAATGGTTTTAATTTGTATATCTTTTGTACATGTATCTATCTTAGATATCTGGCTAATTTTGAGTTGTTTTGTTGAAAGTATTAATGATGCCAGCTGTCAGGATATTGAATTAATAAATTCGTTTGGAAAATTTTGCAAGTCAAATTTAATTTTAGGTAAAAATCTGGCCAACCCACTAAAACAGACCCTCATTTTTTTTAACGCCCATTTTCCTAAGCAACTAAATTAGCCTGTTAACTTCTGTATAATTGTTCTGTGTTTATTTACCATGTCAGTGAAGATCTGCATTCTGGCTTTTTTGTACAGTCAACCTATGAAGTCATTTTAGTCCTTTTACAAAGTTTTACTTGGGTTTTTTAAATGAAAAAAAAACAACAGAAAAAGTTCTAGAAAGCTCATTTTAATATAAAAGGAACTATTAAAAATATTAGGCTCATAATGGATTTGTGAACAAAAAATACCCAGGGCTGTTAGTACTGAATAAATAGCCTTTTAATAGTTATATACAAATACTCAACTAGGATGGCTTTAATTAGCAGTTCTCTTCTTCTTTCTCTTTTTCATTGGCCTTTTGCCTGGTGCTTTTTCTTGTTTCCCACTGGGGGTTTGTGTTCTGTGAATAAAGTAAATAAATGAACAGTTCACTAGCCATGCTTGTTAAGTTTTGGATCACTGAAATAGATCAGTGGCAGCTATGAAAGTAAATACAGGAACCTGAGAACGAGGTGCTAATTTTTAATTTTAGGCTGAAGAAACCACACAACAGCTGAATATCTTAATGTAAAAGGGATGTCTTTGTTAACAGTACTGTAGTAGAGGTAGACTTCAGAAGGCTGCTAAGTTATATGTGTACACATTTCCAATAAACCAGAACTTTGTTACCTTATTTTCTTTGGATTTTTGTGTGGTTCTGGTTCTAAGATGATCAGTTCTTCTTCTTCACTGTCTGAGAGCACTATAGGGGCATCTAAGAAAGTTGTAAGAAAGCAATATTGGTAAGTAATCTCAAGAAATTTCACATGGGTGTCACAAGTTCTAAAGCTTCCAATTCAATAACAGCCCAAGCTACTCTTACTGATGAACACTGCTTCCATTTAGGTAAACTTTTAATCTATAGACTGTCAATAGAAAAGGTAGGGGAAAACACTTTCCAAGAACCAATTTTGGCCACGAGGAAGGCCCCACAGTTTTCTCTGAGCAGAACTGCTGGGTCAAAAGGCACATTCATTTTAAAAGATGTTTCTGCCAAAAACTTCCACAAATATGCACTCATCAGTGCTGGTATTTTTAACACTGACCAATGTTCTAAAATGTTGCTTTGAGTATCTTTGCCCACATCAGGTTTTTTTTTTTTTCCCATTTTTAGTTTTAACTTGTTTTAAAGTCAGTCTTCATGAAACAACTTTCAGATCATTAAGACTGTTTAAACCTGTTACATTCAGGGCTACGGAATTCTATATAGCACTTTTAAGAATAAAGAATAAGTATTACTGAGAAAGTTGAACAAGGGTCCCAGTCAAGCAGGCAGTTTTTTTCTGTTACCTACTTAATTTGAGTAAGTAAAAGTAAAAACAAGTTATGCAGTGCAAAGATTCCCCTAAATGTTATCACCCTCCCTCAGCCAGATTTTCTAAATTTATCATTCGGCTCCTTCATTATACAATTCACACTTAAAGTTTTCAAAAGCTACCTGGGGTTAGATGATGCTGTATTGGACATCACAGAAAGTTCTACTAAGGCAGTACTATAGTGATACATTTCAGCCTATCAAGTTAAGATGCTTGACCTCTCCTGTTGGAGTGCCTGAGTTTGATTCCAGGCTCTGCTCCTGATTCCAACTTCCTACTAATGCAGAGCCTGGGAAGGAGCGGGAACAGCTTAGTGAAGTATAAATGGTTTATACTCATGCCAACAATAAATATCGTTTAAGAAGAAAATTGGAGGCTGGTGTTGTGGTAAAGCCAGTTGAACTACCACTTGTGACATACTGTATTAGAATGCTGGTTTGTGTCCCAGCTGTCCTGTTTCTGATCCAGCTTCCAGCTACTGTACCTGGGAAGGCAGAGGAGGATAGTCTTTGGGCCCTGCCATCTTGGTGGGAGACAAGGATGGAGCTCCCAGTTTCTGCCTCTGGCCGGGCCCAGACCTGGCTATTCCTGGTATTTGGGCAGTGAATCAACAAATGGGAAATCTCACCTTAGTTCCTGTCACTGCAAATATACCTTCAATTTTAAAATTGGGCAAATAAATGTGTCAAAATAACGGTGCTGGCACAATAACATGGGTATTGACTGGTGTCCTGGCTGAACCACTTCCCATCCAGCTCCCTGCCTGTGGACTAGAAAAGCAGTCGAGGATGGCCCAAAGCCTTGGGACCCTGCACCTGCTTTGTAGACCCAGAAGCTCCTGGCTCTGAGTTTCTTCCATGTCTCCCATGCAGGTATAGGGTCCCAAAGCTTTGGGCGATCCTCTACTGCCTTTCCAGGACACAAGCAGGGAGCGGGATGGGAAATGGCACATCCATGATACAAACAGTTGCCCATATGGGATCCCAGCACTTCAAGGCAAAGATTTAGTCACTGAGCCATTGTGCCAGGCCCTTAAGTGACCATCTATGACACTGGCAGTTCCAACACCAGTTCTACTCAACTGCTTCACTTAAAATTCAGTTCTCTGCTAATGTTCCCGGGAAAGCAGCAGAAGATGGCCCAAGTGCCTGGGTACCTGCCACCCACATGGGAGACAGATGGAGTTCCTGGCTCTTTGCTTTGGGCTGGCCCAGCCCTGACTGTTGGGGAGTGAACAGTGGGCAGAAGGTATTTCCCTCCCTTCTCTGAAACTCTGCCTTTCAAATAAAAAATTTTAAAGAAATTATTGTCAGCCTTAATAGTTTCAAAACACAAAAAAGTCCTCCTAAAAAAGGATATACATTTTGTATGTCTATAGATTCTTCAGATAGAAATCACATGCAGCTATTTTTATATATATATAAGTATCACTTACCTTGGCTTCCAGAATCAGAAATTTCTATTCCAGTGTCCATTTTCACACTGTCAAGAATGACAGCTTCATCACTGCCACCTTCATCCTCATCGTCCTTCTCAGAGTCTTCAGGCTCACCCCAAGCATTTTCTATTCCCTCTCCAATTTGGGCAGTTCCAGGAGTCCATA